CAGTGTCGTAGGTGATAATCGTTGGGGTGTTGTTGAAATCTGCAATGCGTCCGATCGCACGGAAGAGGCGGGTCTTTGCTATTATATAGGTCGTTGCGGTAGGCTCTTCCAGAGGCCTCGATGGCGGGAGGGACGTCGTTCCTTCCGATAACTCCCAGTCGTGGATGTTTCGTGGCTCCATTGTATCCGAGAATAGTGTCGAGCCCGTTCGAGGAAAGCCGCCAAGGAATGAGGCCATATCGTCCATGATAATGACCGACATCCAGACCCGACGTCGATATTCTGCCTGAAACGGCGAGATAGACGGGGAGTGAGAAGGGTCACGATGGTAGCCCATGTTTATTGCAGCTCGTACAATGACTCCTGTCATAATCCATAGTCCGCGACGGTTGTCGTCTTTTCTGTTAAGTTCAGCTGTTGCGTTGAACCTCAAGGTCTCGATAGTGTAAGGAAGGCATTTAGCAATGTCGCCATTAAGCAAGCACTGCGCTGTACGGATGCGATAGAGCTGAAAGAGTGACTCCGAGATGCCTTCGTACTCCGGCTGTTCTCCGAATTGATGAAAGGAGAGCATTGTGAGGCCAAGGATTGAGAAGAGGAGGCCCAGCCATATGAAGTTTGTGCGGGACGGGTCTTTCCAATGCTCGTTATACTGATATGTGGTTAGTAGGTAGGTGATTATTATGGCAGTATAGAGATTGATACCTCTCGCATGAAGGTTGGTATGTGTAGGATGGCTTTACAATGATAAGTCAGCTTTTTGACATTCATTGGACGAGATCACTCACGGGGCACAGATATTTGGAATTTCTCTGTGTCAAAGAATAGAGCTATGAGCTTATCGACCTGATGCTTTGGTGGTAATGTAGATACAATTTCTATTCGCTCCAGTGGCTTGACTTGACCAAAAAGCAAGCTTGAGCCGTCGGCAATATGCGAGGGAGCAGACTGGACGACCTCATTAGCGATTTCATCCTGAGTTTCGGTCCATGTTTGCTTGAGTGTGTTTATCTGTGAACTATTAGCTGGCGGGGCTTTACTCTGGAAAGGCACTGGACACAACGTCAAAGGAGCGGCTGCTGTTCGCTAACATGATAAAAGGAAGACGTGATGTAGCCAATATCAAACAGTGAATGGACCAGCATGGGGGAAGCAAAATAGTCTACAGCAAAGATGGACAGGCAGATCAGAATACTCACCTCTTCCAAAACGTCATACCACTCATCACCCCCTCGGTACACCGAGCGAGTGCCATCAATCATCGTCGTCCCAGCGCATGCGACTTCTGAAGCATGCGACTGCGCACCTTGCAAAGCCTTATTATCGGCAGGTATAGAGCTCTCCGGTGTATGAGGCATATTATCAGACAATCCATTCTTCCGCTCAGCAATCAGCCTCTTGACCAGATCCTCCAAGTGATCGATTCTATTCTTCATTTCATCCCCACCATCCCGACGCGTAGGGGTAGTGCCATTGTTGGCGCCTCTGAATCTGCAAGATGGCTGCTCATTCCGAGTGATACAGTTCTGACAAGGCTTCTCGCGATTGCATTTCAGCCTGGATCCGTCAGCCGTCATCCTGCACAAAGTATATGTGGTGGATTTACACACTTCCTAGCGCGGCAAGGATCACATGACAATGGGATCCGATGGCGCCGCTTCGGTTGGTGCGATGGTCTGGAGGCCCAAGTGGGTTTTGTGACACCATTGGATTCCATAGTGACCGGGGTATAAGAAAATTGAATGGCATGAAGTTGGTAAAGTCCATGGCGATGGAAGCAGGATCCCCCGCTTGGGATAAGCTCCGTGCACGTGACTTATCTCCGCGGACTTAGGGGATCCGACTTACTAACGAGACGCGGTGGTCCTTGATGACATTGCTTTCCAGTACAATGGTGGTAGTAAGTTATGCATGGGAATCTCGTCTACATATTCCTCAGCGAAGTAAATCTACCACATCGTGACTTTCCTGCTTGCGCCCGGGGTTTGGTCAAATTATAAGTATATTTTATGCTCCTACTAAGGTTTCAGTAAATGGGTGCTATCTAAAAAATGCCCGGCGCTCATTATCCATCAATTCATCAAACAGAATCTCGCATCTTCGACGAACTGTCGTCGTCTATAATCGCTGTTTAAACCTCAATCAATCCAAGAAGGTTTGCGCGTGCCGTCCTCGTCTTCAGTACTGCCATCTCAGCCGTTGGATAAGCCTGCATCAAGTGTAACGCAGCCTCCTCACAAGCATATAGGTTTGTCATAGCCTGCCTTCGGACCATGGTATCTGAGCCCTGAAGATCTAACAGACTAGCCTCAACAGCGAACATCAGTATTGTGACTGATGCTCCGGGAAGGAACGGAAGTAGTCCAAGATCCTGCAGCTCCGCGAGTACCTTTTTGATTTGCGACGTGGATCCCCTTAGACCTTCCATGTTCGGAAGCGCAGTGCTGGTTTGCTGGCTATGCGTTCCTGTGCGGTATATCACAGCCATGGCGGCTAGATACAGCAGGTAGAGAAAAGCTTTGTGCACGAGAAATACTGTTTCAGTCGAATTTCCATCTGAATCGGTGGAGACGTGTGGTGGATGGTAAACTGCGTTGAGGGGAAGAAATTGAATCCAGGAATAAAGAAGCTTCTCACAACTGGGCCTGATAGATGGCGAGATGCTGCACTTAGGGGCAAGTGAATAAAAGCTGCTGCGACGTGCTGGGATTGGAACCCAGGCCCCTTCGTATAGGTAGTCTAAGATTGCTCCAACACAGTAGGAGAGTTTGACTAGTTCCTTGAAGAGCATGGCAGATTGTTCCTGGTTAGTGCTGGTAAGCATAGATGAAGCGCTACCTAGGCTCTCATGAATGATTTTATCGTATTCCTGAGGTGCATAGCTCATAAGATGAAGTATTGAGTCCGGATATATGTTGACTGGCATCCGTGGGGGCCGACGAGACCCAAGCGAGATTGTTCGATCACGGACGTAGAGGCAGCACCACATAGTAGATCTGAAGGAACGGCTATCGCACGGCCAATATTCATCATGGAGCAGGCCAATTCGTTCCGCAGTGGAGAAGGCGACGTCAAGCCAGTAGGACGGCCCTTTGTGGCGTGACATATCTCCATGCCAGAGAGTCATCAGTAAGAGAGCTTGGATTTGGGTGTAGGCACATGGTTCGGATTCGAATTCGTATAGAACCTGCTAGTCGCTCAGTATATATGAAATATGATGTGTTGTGATTAGTACTGACCTTTGTACGTTCAAATAAAGCTCCCGTTAACTGTTCCATTTCTTCAGTGTCTCGCCGAGCGAAAATGCTGCCGGCAAACATGACAGCTTGGTATAATAGTGGTGATTTGAATTGGGCATCATCTCCAACTATGACTTCTGAGAGAAAGTTCCCAAGACCAAGAATTGGTAAGAGCGGATGAACATATTCGACATACGCCGCCAATAGCTCGTTACGCAAGGCTGGTGGCAAGAGCTGCAGAGCTCCTTTCCTAAGCAAATACTCACTGTCCTCAAGTGAAACCGCTGGGAGTCGAGTTCGAAATTTCCTGTCCGGCCTTGTGACAGTTCCCTTGCTTGGAGCCAAATAGGAGACTGGCTGCTCGAGAAGTCCCTCAATGTCTGAGAGAAGATTATCAAGAGGATAGGTAGACAGAACATCTGGCTTGATGGCGATGTGTGGCTGGCCTGATATAGCTTTGGTCCCTGAAACCAACAACTGGGAAAGAGATTCTATAAAGACTGGTGAGTAAGTGCGGCAGACAACATAGCTTGTTACCTACCACCGTCGAAGAGACTATTGCTCTCCCAATTATCCACACTGCCGGGACTCTCCGTGTGGGGAATAGAAATACCAGCATGGGTCCCACTAGAGTCCGAGCATGGCGAAGACGAGGCATTAGTGTCAGGAGAGGACGCCGTATTTGGACTAGTTGACGACCTTCTGAGTGCCCTGTAACATACAATTGTCAGAAGACTTTCTCTACCTTCAATATGATTCCATTGTATACAAAGAGCATCGAGTGACTCTTGCCTACCAATACGCACGGAAAGATAGACAGGAAATACCTTCGTGATTTCGTGTAGACACACTTCAAGTTTCTCAAGTTGCATCTGCGACACACAGTCGCTCCTCGTGTTAGTTCGCATCGTACCTTCGAGCTCCGACATGCAAGGCAAGCGAGTAGAGGCCGCTGTGTCACACGACTACAGACCTGAGGTCGAGGGCAACTCTCCATGTAGGATATTTAATCTTGAATTGCTCCACTGAAACTTGACCAAGAATTTGCGGTCCAGACAGGCCGTCGGCGGGTGCAAGAAGTAAATATGGAATAACAATCGCATCCCTTTCATGTCCAAGTTCCTGACCTGGCCCAAGATTGAGCCACCGGACATGTGCAGGAAGCTCATCTTTTCCGGCGGCAATTTGGTCTTCCCCACCAGGATCCACATTCTCACCAGCTTCAACGCCGCGGAACATCAAGGGTCACAAATGATTTGTCAATCCAGTGGTGTGCCGGACGATCGGCCTGCCAAATGCGTAGCCTATCTAGTCTAGACTGAGCTTCTCGACTTTCCCCCGCTCCAGCTTTTTGGGGGTTTCGATGATCATCATCGTTAAACCAAGGCGCAGTGCTGTACACACAAAACAGTGGCAATGTATATATTTGAGATCCATTTAGCTTCAAGTGAGCATTATTAGCAAATTGACCGAGCGAGATTGTATCCCGCGTCTTCTAAGTAGTCCAATGGCTGTTGTGAAACACAAAACTGGACGATGCGGAGTCCGAGTGTTCCGGGCTCAGGAGGTTTGGTGGTCACCGCCGTTATCTCCACCGGAAAGATAGCCACCGGAACAATCACAGCAACCCATGGATCCCGTGACCCCAATTATCCGGCGGCTTGCCACATACCATTAAACTCCGCGGCCGTTGTTGCTACTGTGGCCATAAGCCATTTTGCGTGGCTACATATGAGCATACTAATCATCGCGATGTTTGCCCTTCCACCATCCTCTCTAGACTTTAGCTTGGCCCTAGGATATATCAACGAGCTACAAGGGTGTACTGATCACGTTGACTCCCTTCCGCTCCTTTGACTAGGGAAATGTTCGGCCCCAGTTCCACGTACTGTTTTGATCATCAGGGACCAAGTTAAACATGGCTATGCACGAGGTCAGTCAAGATCCGAATTGTGTCTTGGGAGATCAAGGGCCATTACATTCTCCAAATGCACCAAATGTATCGTCCAGCTGTTGAAAGGCCTGGGCAGGGAGGAAATCATATGGTCCCATTACGGCAGGGGGGGCATTGTAGTCTGTGTCCCAGGAACCTTGGACAGGGTCTACAGCGGCCTGCGCTGCGGGTCCGTGACTTGTCCTGGAGCGCCCTGCACTCAAGGAGTCATTCGAGGGGCCGTCAACCCCAGAACCAGTTAATCGCGTATCCGAAGGGCAATTTGTTTCGATATTATCAGCCAAGGCATGTGTTATCTCGCGCTGAGTGGTAACTTTCAGCAGCTCCGTCAGAAGCTGTTCAGTTTGCCTTGCTATTCGATCGTGGCTCTTGAGACTTCGACTAGCGCGAATTATTCTTACCACCCCATCCTTTGCCTCGTGAGCGGTGGCCGTTAAAGGTTTCACAGTTGGAGGTATGCAGAGTATCACACCAGCAGTAAATTTTGTCATGGATACAACTGCTATAGCGAAGTGATTCTTTAATGTGTGAATTGGCACGCGGGATATGCGAAGGGCAGCAGCTGTGGCTCGGTCTAGCGCCCTATGCATCGCATCCATGATCCCCCGCGAAGATGTTAGCCTGTTGATTCTTCGCTCCAACAGCGGTCTATTTGCTTGTATGACCATGCCATCGTACGTCAATTGAAGAACAGCAGCCTGTAGATAGATTGTCTCCACCTGCTGCCTTTCTTGAGGCGGAAGTGTTTGCAGCTGCCCTTCAACGGTCTCCCAGCGACCATCTGCTTTCCAGTAGTCAAAGTCATATAATTTCGGGACGGCTTTCCACCAGTCAGTGAGAAGAGCGTTCGACTCCTCGGTAATACGAATGATAGCTTCCAAGTTCTGTTCCTCTATTCCAGATGTCAGGTCAAGCCGACGGAAGCGGATAAGAATTTCGCGAGCGATCGCATACACATCTGTCTTTAAGACGTGAAATGGGGCGCGCGACGTTATTCCGTCGCTATTCTCCACTGATAGATTACTTAGCAGGGAGTGGTCAAAGACCAGGTCGTCGACGAGCTGTAGATGACGAACGTTGGCCGAAGGCAGAGAAGCAGGGCGCCCATAGAGAATCGAGCAAAATGTATCCGAAATGATGATCTGGTTCCAGCAACGAGAGCGTGTCTCATTAGCGATAGAAGGCAGCGACGATGTGCTTGTTTCTTGAAGATTGAGAGCATATGCAGCTCTGAACGCCATGCCACACGTGGTCCAGGCCATATTTGGAGAGCTGTGGAACATGTAATAGCAACAGAGTAGAAGACAGACTTGCACCCCTTCCATACGGCGGTCCTCCAAGATGTCAAGCACACGGGAACGAATCTCTGTCAGAAATTTGTTCAGCAAATCCTGGGCATCAATTGAATGCCTGGATAGAAGGATATGACCAGGCCAATCTGCGTCGGGGAGGACTGATTGTAAGCTGATAACAGCGACAGCAAGCACCGTCATGACTGCACCAAGATCCCGGCGTTGCCATTGATGCTGAGAGATAATTGGCTGGGCCATTTCTCTAAATGACGGCTCGTGGAGCACCAAAATAAACCACTGCATTCGGTCAAAGTAGGCGTTGATCAATGCAAGCATCACAGTCGTTGGGGGCATGGGTGTCTCTTTCAGGCCCCATAGTGAGTTATCAGCACCCACCATGCCAACATCACCCGGCACAGCAGCTTCAGTCAAGGTCCGGCCTGTCTCCTCCTCGTTATAAACCTGCCTGGCGAAACCAATCGCCGAAGTACCAGTTGCATATTGTTGAAGGTCCTCGGACGCTCTTCTCGGTATGACCTGCGGTGTATCAGATCCGGCGGAAGCCGCTGGGGTGGCCGGTGCCTGATATTCAGAAACACGACGACGTGATGCAGTGGTTGTCTCGCATTTGTGACCAGCACGGGTGCATAGTACACACGGACGAACTGAGTCACACTAGAAAAGATAAGAATCGCTCACAGCCGCTTATGTCCAAATGTGGGAGCCTACCTTGAGCTTCTGTCGACGACAACGGTCGCAAGCCTTGGATATTCGCGACCGAGTCGACCGCCTGGAAGCTTTCTGCATGTAGCAATTAGAGCGATGGCTAAAGGATACGTCAGAAGCGAGGAGATCAATATCCGAGATTCCTGGGCTGTATTGATTAGAATCCGGGGTAGTGGAGAGAATGTGTTCGTGTTTGCCGGTGGAAAACAACCAGAATGTGCGGGGAAGAATGAAGCCCGCCAAGGAACCTGCGGCTGGGGCCGCCACGTGCGGGGAGTCAGGACGTAAGGCCATAAGGCTTCAAGGCCACAACATGATCAAGACATAAAGGCATTAAGGCTGTAAGGCAATAAGGCATCCACTCGGGAAAGGGTTGCGACCGTCAAACAAATCATCAACATTCAACATTGTTAACAAACAATTGACCTCCTTTTGCAGAAGTTGCAAAAGCTTATCCGTGTGGATTGGATCCACCTCACCATCAATCTGCTGTGCGCGCTTCGCCCCTTCAACAAATCAACGGCGTGTGAGCAATGTTGCTATTTCTGTCCTTCGCGACATCCTACAAACTGGTCTAGCAGTGAAAGACTGCTCAGCCTGCCCATCACTTGTTGATCAGCCAGCTACCCAACCCAGCGACAACGAAAAGAAGAGATTTCTCATTCTCCAGGACGCCGTCGACCGGCTAGTGATCTAAGCGATATGTGTGGTGGATATCGTTTTGGCCCCAGCAGCGATGATCACTGGAGCCACTAGGACGTGGCTGTCCTGCCGCGCCTCCTCGGTTTCGGTTTCGCTGCTTAATTGACATAGGGCTATGTCACATGAGATATCCTAGTAGGAATATTGTAGTTATAAAGGATGGTAGGGCCCTATGCTTGAGGAATACGAACCATCTCTATTGCAACAGTTATTCAACTATACACTTCATTGTTCTATCCGCTATTTACTCCGACGCTACATCATACACAATGTCCGCAACTGAACACCTCGATGCAGCCAACTTGGCCTTCTATGCTCTCTTCTCTCTCCCAGCAATATACTGCCTTGTTGTGCATGGCAAACATGGCCTCGTCGGCTGGGCTTACGTTCTCGCCATGTGTGGTCTGCGTATAGCCGGAAGCGCAATGTCCCTCAACGCTATTCACCACGACAAAGTCAACACAACAGCTGCGATCCTCAACGGCATTGGTCTATCCCCTCTTCTTATGGCTGCCATGGGCCTGCTCCATGAAGCGTATGTATTCCGCTTGGCAATTTTACTTCGCAACTAACCACCTCACAGAAACCACTCCATCCACCGCTTTCTCCCTCCTTTCCTGAACCTCTGGGGATTCCTCATCACACACATGGTTGTCGCAGGTGGGATTGGTCTTGCTGCTGCTAGCAGTGGAAACGAGACACTCCTTCGTGTGGGGATGGTTGTCTTTGCGACGGGATGGACCTTGGTGGCTGTTCTGATTTGGTTTTCATATGGGGCTAATGCCCACAGCCGTCGACTGGGAGAAGAGAGACAGGTTTGTATCTCTCTATTCTTGTATTAAGATCAAGTCACTAACAGTCAAAGCTTCTCTCTGCTATCACTGTCGCCATGCCCTTGATTGGTGTTCGCATCGTCTATGCCATCGTAACCGCATTCACCAGCTCCAATCTTGAAGGTGGCAGTCTGGCCGTGCGCGTCATCTTCGGTACCATCCCGGAGTACCTCATCATGCTCATCTACGTGGGAGTCGGTATCGTCACTCGCAACCTGGCACGCAGTCGTGTCGAATACATCCAGCCGAAGAACCAGGCCGTGCCCGTCTGAACACTCTGACGACTGGTTTACGATCCTTGATGTATATCTATAGACTACCTGAATATAATTCTCATAATCCCATTATAATTGTAATCATAACACTACCTTATCATTAACATCCACCACCCCCATAACCACCCCGACCGGCCACTCCATAATCCCCCTCCACACCTCTGGCAAAATAGACTCAATCCCACGAACCTCCATCTCCGGAATACCCCTCAACCACCACACCCCTTCGGCACCCTTAACCAACGCAAACAAATACGCCAGAATAACCAACGCCCTAGGCCTCCGCTCACTCACCAGCCCCAAAAACTCCCCTGGAACCATACTGGGAAACGAGGAGAACCTTTTCCGAATATCATACCCAGACTCCCCCATCCTAACCGCCATCAACAACCCCTCCAAATACCCAACACACTGCACATATACCCCCATCACCTCTTCTTCCTCCTCATTACCAGGGAACACATCTACCAAGAACCTCAACTCCCCACTACTCCCCTTAGGCCCTCCATCCTGCACCTCCACATCCCCCCGATGCACAACCGGCCTGGCAACCAACAACGGCGCAATTCGCGCCCTCTCCTCCACAAGCCGATAATACACCATGGACACGACCGTCCTCACACCCCGGGCCATATTCAGCCACAGGTTTGGAGGCTCGTACTCACCCCCTCCACCATCCATCCTGCACGCAAGCGTATACAACGAGATCAAGATCGCATTCATGCACAACGTCTCCGTAACACCCGCCCCCGGGGAAGACACCGCCAACTTCGCCGTCTCAGCCCTATGACCCCCAACCGCCTGGGCAATAAACCCGCCCTGAACACGTCTCAACTCCTCCGCTTCATGGGGCACAAGCCGTGCGCGATGCGCCGCAGCCACAGCTAGCAAAGTGGACAGAAGGGGCTGGTACTCAAAGGCCATTTCGGGGACGGAGAGTTCCCACATCTCGCGCACGGAGGGGATCTGTGCGGTGCCCATTGTGTGTGAGGTGGAGGTGATGTAGAGGTGGAGCAGGCGGAGGGAGATTGTGTTTAGGGGGTTTAGGTGGGGGGCTTGCAGGTTGGAGGAGTATGGTGAGGGGGTGGGGATGGGAAGGGTTAGGGATGTGGATGTAGATGTGGGTGAGGATAGGAGGGCTGTGGTGGTGGTGGTAGTGCTGGCTGTGCTTGTGCTTCTATTGCTGGAAGTATCCTCTCGGTAAGTATACATGCGCGGCTCGAGAGGCGCATATTCACAGGGGAGGTTGTGACGATCGCAGTGCTGGCATTTGGGGCGGGTTTCGCTGCACTGTTTGTTTTTTGCAAGAGGGTCCACATTAACGAAGTGCTTCGGTTAGGTACCGAGTCGTTATGGAAAATTGATCCTTTCGGTGGGGTGGAAAAGGGGGGATTGATTAATTTACCTTGACTTTTCTAGCTTTGCACCGCCGACATCCGCGGGTGGATTTGCGGTGGTTGAGTCGTGGGGGCATGGCTAGTAGTTTGACTGACTCGGTTAGAGGTGCAGCACAGGTGCAGATGTGCTGTGCAGGTGCAGGGGCAATTTCGGATTCGGGTAGGTAGCTAGGAAAGAGGTGTTTGCAGGAATAGGGACCAAGGGGGTATCAAAGCTTGACTTATCTTAGCTTATCTTTAGTGAACTGGGCTGTGTCAGGCTGTGAAGTGTCCACTCTGTTTCCACTAATGAGCCGTAGTTTGGGGGCGGATTCGGATCCTTCAACTTGTAGGGTTAGTGTTAGCATTACCGCTTCGGGTAGAGATCGTCGAGTGTTTGGAGATAAAGAGTGGATGGTTTTCCCAAGATGGTGGGATTTCTCATCAACAACGATAATATCAAGCCTTCTATTGCATTCAACAGTCTCTTTCAGACTTTCAAGTGTTCATCACCTTCATCGCAATCCATTACTCCTCTTTTCTACCACTCAATCAATCAATAATCACAATGGGTCTCATCAAAACTGGTATCCAACTCGCCGGTGCTTACGGCCTCCTCAAGGCCGGATCCAAGTATGTAACACTCATGCACCATTGCGGGTCGTCAGATATTTATACTAATACTCCATTCCTAGGGCTGTCAATGAATTCCAAGACAAGAAGCAATCCAACCAGAACCAGAACCAGAATCATCAATGCTCCTGCTGCCATCACCATCAGCAACCTCCCCACCCTCAGCAGTTCCCTCCCCACCAACAAACTCCCCTCCAGCAAGTCCCCCACCATGAGTACGGATATAACAACAACGCCCAGCTTTACCCTCCTCAGGGCGGACCTCAGTACACGAACAATGGACCCCACTATGCCAACCCCGGGCCGCAATATCAGCATCCTCCCGTCCACTACCACGAGGGACACGCGCCGGTACAGCGGCCCGAGCAGCAACAGCCGCAGCAGGGTCATCAGCATCCTTAGTGGCGCTAGAGAGAAGTTTAAGAGTGGAGTTTGGTTTTGGGGCTTTTGTGTTTACCTTTTGGTGGAGCGGGTTACGGGCATGGTTCTATTGAGCGAGATGTTGTTTGGATTCCCCTGTATTCACGCATTATAGACTATGACTGCATGTAATTAAATATAGAGAGCGCTATTCGTTAAAGATATGTTGGACCATCACTTTCTCCCAGTAAAGATGGATGTCGAATTTACTCTTGGTACACTGGTGGCTCTGCACTTGCTGGCCAGTGCTCCAGTCGCTCAAACTCCGCCATCGGTACATCATACCCCAGGTGTCGCTTTAGTAGTTCATGCGTGACATAACGCTCCGGCGCATTGCCCTGTGCATCCACAAATGAGACATGTGGATTCACTTCGCTGATCCTTTGCAGCTCGTTAGCGTGCCGGTGGTGGTGCGGACACCCGTCCACTCCAATCAGAAAGATGGTGACATGGACCCAAGAGAGACCCAGCAGATCAAGTTCAAACTCATCCATGTCTGTTGCTTCGCCATCAAGTAAAAGTAGCAATCTCAGCATTGGTGTTCGCGGGCCTGCTTGCCAGCCATAGACAGGGTGGTAGGTAGCGGATTCTGAATGTCTCTGGAAATGCAGATCCTTGATTTTCTGCCATCCGGTCATGACGCGTGTTCCTCCCCCTAACTTGACATTTCTCCACATATCGTTGAAGTTCGAGTGGTTGATAAACCCAATATAATCAGCCTTGTTAGCAAAGGTAACGAGCTGGTAGCCATGAAGATTCTGGTCGTGGATGGACATTGCATCCGTGAATCGGCGGATGATTGCTTTGGCAACATCTATGATACTAAGTCAGATAGTGTGATTGCTGAAGAGAGGGACCCACGTACCCTTGTTCTTAGGTTGATTAGAACGGGCGAACCCGGTGACTAGATATTGAGTGTATAGTGGTCGAAGAGGGTCAAAGTCCATTGATCCAGACACGTCCAGTAAGATCATTGTATTGTCAGTAGCTGTTTCGGGGAGGTCAAATGGTGTGAATGGAGGCGGCATCACCTGCAGGGAGTAACTCTCTGGCAAACGCTGAAGGCGGAAGGTATCATCCATGGAGTAGTAAGCCGGGGGTGGCTCAACGGCTGTGGCCATTCTTGCACGAGCCATCTCCAGAGCGGATATCATGTCTGGCTTCATGCGAGGTCCCGTGTTTCCCTCTCGATGGTTTAGGACCCAATAGAGCCGCTCCTCGGCCGTATTCTCGTACCCTCTCCAAGCCGGAGTAATGCCTCTCCACCCAGAAAGTCCCTCGATGCGAAACTTCAAGGGGTTTGAAGCACGAGTTGCCCAAGCTATTGGGATAGGCTCAAAGTATCCTGCTCGAAGCAGATGCAAATACTGAATTGGGCGTTTGGCTCGTAACTCGGCGATTTTCTGCTTCATGCCAACCTTTTCTTGGTAGGCGGCTACGATTTTTCGCCACTCTAAGTCCGGCCAACGACCATTTTCCTCCTCCAGAATTTCCCGTCGGAGCTTTCGGGCGCGAGTAAACATTTCTTCTGTTTTGGAGCTTGATTTGTTCAATGACGAGATGGACAGAGCCCGCCTAAAATTCGATAACTTGGACGATTTCAATGGCCCTATGCTGCTTGCTGCGGGAGCACTTTTGTTTTCTACGGGGCTTGAGGTAGCGGAGGTGTTGTCCGGTTCATCTAATCCCCAGATGTCGCATTGTGGCTCCATAGCATCGATTGCGGCCTGGGATTTGTTGTTCAGTGTCACATTCAGGGCAATGGTCTGCCGAACGGAGTTGGTGTATCGTGTTGCATCTGGACGTTGTAAAGTTGTGTACGCAATACCATACGCTGAGGGGATCCGGATATAGGGATTATTTGAGAAAACAGACGACTGGTAACAATCGTGATAAGCCTTCTCTCCTATTCTCCGCCATAGCCAAAGCATTAGTCCTTGCGGTATCTTTGAACCCAAGGGTGACGGTACGAACCGGGATACATCACTGCTTTGGACCACATCTCCTGCACATCGAGGCGTGCAACTTTCTTGCGCCGGTATTGATGAATTTCGCACGTACAGGCCATGAACTCACTGGCCTCATGTTCCGGCTCAATGTCGGTGTTGTAGATTTGACACTTTATTTGGATGTCCAAGAGCATGTTCTGCATTTCTTGCTAAATGACCGATGATGTTAGATGAGTCGCACATGTGCTGACGTCGAGGCGTACCTCATCCCGAGCCCGAACATCCCCAGCTTCGGTGACAACATTCTTGTGAGGAGCACGTTCTGCTCCATTCACGGAGCTAATGTGCAACTCATATGATGGGGGCAGTGCTCGCATATCAGCATGATCGCTTTGGAGCCTCGAGTCGGACCTGCTAGCAGCCGCGACATTTGAGTATCTATGCGGGTTCTCGTAAAACCGATCAAGGGCCTCATCGAAAGAGCTCGCCTCCTTTGGTTTGCAAAGTCAGTACCATGACCAATTTTTCGGCTGCTTGTGTTGTATACCTGCAAGAAAATAAGAGCCTTCCCTTCAGTAGCCTCTGGGGCGATGGAGATGAACTTGGCGACATCGTCTGTTGATGGCAACATGGTGACGGTACCAAGGGGTACGTTGAGATGTTCGAACGACAGCTGTAGGCATGGGTGAGAAAGACTAACATTAGCCCAATTTCCCCTCCTGTCAGCCTCAGCGTGCGGTATTTATCTCTGCTGATGGAGGGTTATCATGGATAGGCAAAGGCTCGGAATGCGGAGATGGCCCGGGCGCCACTGGTCTCCGCACCGCAGATTGGCTGGTGCATTGAGGTTTATCGTAACTAAAATGGCGCTATATTCGCCAAGTGAAGTTGCGTGAGATATTAGACTCGAACGAATCAATTAGAGTTCGCTATCTTTGTGAACTCCAATTAGCGCAGGGGGATTGATGAGACTGTCAAATTGTCGCTAGGTATGCTCATTGAACCTTGGTACCTTCTTGTGTAGGAAATTAGAAGCGCTTTCGCTGCTTGAGTCGCACGAGAACCAGAAGATTGCTGCAGCGACACCTAATCAGCACACTTTAATTCCCGTGGTTTGAGCCATGATAAATCGTAGATCCCTCGGTCAGTGACACATCCATGTGAAGAGACAGATGACGCGGAGAAGTGATTGCATGGGGTGATAAGAAACGGAAGACGGGAAGGAATAGCGGCGGCATCCACGTGCAGCAAGTGATCACTTGACAGACGGAGGTTTTCTCCATTATCACATCAGCGAGAAATGATGGGGAATCTTCGATCTTAAACGAAACCAAATCGCAGATTGTCTTGAGAACTGCTAGTAGTAATACCTATCAATTCGGGATGGTAGTAGCGAGTATCATTCCGGGGTCTCCAGTGAGATATAAATTGATATATAGATACCAGTAGTAGTATCCATGGCATTCAGGGATTTTCTGCATAAGATGGTGCAAGACTGCAGATGACGGTAGAAGGATCATGCGTGAACCGACCACTCACTACTTTAATTAAGTTCAATTGAATTAGAATGCCAATTGAACTCCATCATGATATGTGCAAAGCCATGGGAGGGCTGGTCTCAACCCAGGGCGCGTGATTGACAGCCTGAGGCAGACAGTGCAAACCCAACAAAACACGTGCCAGGAACTAACCAATCAGGGAATGGCAAACAGACCAGTCACGGTCCAGACCCGGGCGGGCTTAGCGTGTCAAAGCGGCCTCCCCTAAGAAAAAAAAAGAGGCAAAAAAAGGGACGCCGATATAAATCTGAAAATTTCCCCCTCCCTGACAATCTTCCCCACATCATAACACCGATCTCTATCTTACTCTACTCCTTTTTACTAACCACCACATTCATCATGGGAAACGTAAGCCTCTCGCTGTTACTGACTCTACGCGAAGTCCTTCCTCCTGGAGTGAAGCGACCAGCGACTTGATTGCGCCTTATCAGACTTAACATGAGAATCATCCACAGGGAGCCAAAGCCGCCACCAAGCGCGAGCGCAACGCCAAGGACACCAAGGCTGGCGGCAAGTCGCAGTTGAAGACCGTATGTATCCTCTATTTGTTGCTTTTATCGATTGTTTGAATCTTGAAGAAGAAGGGGGTAGCTTTTGTAGGGTGGTGTCACGATCTGTGTAGAGAGAGAGAAATGTATAGGTGTGGAAGTGAAAGGGGAAATCTCCCGACGATCATGCTTACGCAGGGACTACAGAACGAAGCTGCAAAGGATATCATCTGCATGACTTGCAGGTCGACTTTCCTCAAGACTACTCGTGCTCCGGCCTTGACTGAACATGCTGCCAACAAGCACAACAAGACCCTGCAGGACTGCTTCCCCGGCTTCGTGGAGGCGCCTAAGAAATGATGGAAGGGACTGAGATTGAACGGACTGAAAAAAATTGTTACGAAGCCATGTGTGTATCTGACTTAGCCTATTAAAGTGGCATTTTAAGCGATGTTCATCATCCCGCTATTACAGTAAGAATTTGATGTGAAAACTACATTGAAAAGGAACAAAGAAAGGGAAATTGTCAACAATTTCATATGTATGCACAATAGCGGGCTGTACATCACATGACTAAGCATATGCATGTGCATAAATCCCCAGGCTGTCAGCAGCTAATACACCTCTGCTCCTACTGCTAGGAAATACCGGCTCTCTCCATCTTAACAGTAGTTCGAGATCCTACCATAATTAATAGTCCAGATTAGCCAAGTCATGATATAGATATTGAATACGTACTCAATCAAGTTGCCATCCGGATCGCGCACATAAACGCTCCGGATCTTCCCCACCGCACCCGTGCGTTCCACGACTTTGTTACCTTCGAGGACGTCAATCTTAGCTTCCTCGAGTGCTTTCAGAACATTCTCCACTTTAGTGTCCGTCAGAAAGCAGAGGTCTGCGCTTCCTGGCATGACATTCTGGGCTTTAGGTTCGAATTCCTTCCCGCTCTCGTGCAGGTTGATTTTCTGGGACCCGAAGAGAAGGGCATGTCTGAAGAATGAGATTTATCAGGGTGACTGAAGAAAGGAAAGACCAGGGATTTGAGGTTTACCGTTGAATGTCTGGACTGCTAGGTGAAGAGAAGACTTCATGTTTCATCCCCAGGTGGCTTGTATAGAATGCGACGGAGGCGGGGATGGACCGGACTGTCAAGACCAGGTGGTCTAAAGACTTGATAGCAAACTTGGCGGCCATAGTGTTGTAGGTCGTACAATTTTCGTTTCAAGGGAACTTGGAGATATGATACATCTGGGATGACTGGACACGCCAGATGAGTAGTGACTGCTGCGCGGGGTGTCGCAATTTTCGCCGAGCCTTATGCTCGGCAAGTTATCTTAGGCGCCGAAGGCAACATCATGGTATAGCTGTGGTGCCTCGGCTCCTATGGATCCAGCTCTTCGAAGTTTATGATGAGAATTTGTGATGTATATTGAACTGCTTGACGTGTCGATTAGGTCTTGCATGAGTCGCAGAAGATGCAGTTACACAGCGACTTCTACTGCGTCATGTCGAGTTTCTTGCGACAGCGCATCTTGACAGGAGCCAACATGATTATTGCCGTCTACATGTTGGATGCCTGATAAAATAGGGTTAGATCTAAATATTCTGCTGCAAATCACTCTATTTGACTGGTATGGGTCAAGTCGTGTTTGTATTGCTCTGCATTCTCCCCTACTGCTGCACTTGCTTGTCAACAATCGAGAATATCGCATAATGCACTACCAAGGATAGTGATGACAAGGAGAAGGGCGGTCGAATTGACTACTCAAAAGGTTAAGGACTTAACAGATGTTTAGTGCGATTCCCGATGTCGGTTGCATAGAATGGTACCCACTTCCTTCAGTGAGCACTTTGCACCACGTGTTAGCCATGCATGTATAGTGCTCACTCTACACCGTACAGTGCTGCTATAAAGTACATTATGTGGGTAATAACCATTATTCCCTGCAGCACGTGGAGATAACACCCACACCTGTAAAGGTGCTTGTTATTTACCAAGATTGACTAGAGATACAGTCTATTCTGGGGATGAGCCTCTGAATTGGTACCAGAATCCTTGCATGATGAAGTAATTCACCGTGGCATTTATGTACATTGCTGTGCACATATATTAGGGTTTTAGGCCACCCATTTTGCCAACTGTTCAAAGAACTCTTGCAGTAGTTGCATTAAGGCGTCCATGCTGTTCGGCAAGAAGCACGACGGTCATTGGTAGGTGCGTGGTGAGAAAGGCTCCGATACCTTCCTAATTGAGATAGTCACATATTACTAGACTCGACTTGAGTACTCGTATCTACAATCTAGCTGCCCGCCTCCTGTTCCTCTGCGAATATGTTAATGGCCAGACTAAACCAGGGTTTGTTCCGCGCATGCAAGACGGCCATGTTGCACTTAGTATATTGGCGTGGGGCGCGCTAAGCGGAGCCACTTTTACCAGCTGAACAACAGCAATACCGTACCATATCAGCCCGTTAGCTGTATCGACCAATGGGCCAATCTTTACCCTAACCCCCAGCCAGGGATACATTTTCATCAGGACTGGCTTTGTCGCAGTTTTGCCGAAAGATTAATTTCCTTTTCTTCCTTTGCCGCTCGGATTTCCCGAAACTTATCCCTGCTGCATCCTTTACAAAAACAGGGGTGTTCCGCAGTGTGGAGGCCGAGACTCTTCCTTTGCATCCTTCCCCTCCGATTACACAAGGACTGATAGAATCATGGAGCTGGAGAAGACTGAGATCGAGCCACGGGTGGTGGAAGCCTCGACTGGCGACAACATCGACCCGGCTTTGGAGAAGAAGCTCTTGCGCAAGCTGGACTGGAGAGTCATCCCCGCTTTATGGTTTCTGTTCTTGGTGTCCTTCATGGACAGATCGAATATCGGGTGAGAATCTCTACCTGCGCAACCAGTGTTCAATCCCAACAGTGCTAACGATAGAACGTCTTTAGCAATGCGAAAATTGCAGGCATGAGCAAGGAATTGCACCTGGTCGGAAATGACTACAATCTGGCTGTCACAATGTTTACCGTCGCGTACGTTATTTTTGGCATGCCGGCAAATCTTCTGGTCAAAAAGTTCGGGCCCAAGATGCTGGTGCTGTATATGTTTACATGGGGTAAGATGGCTGGCGGTTACTGATGATTGTGTCTGCTAATGCGGTGTCTGCGGTAGGCCTTTTCGTGATGGGCCAGGGTCTCGTCAAGACCGCGAGCGGACTTATCGCTTGTCGCTTTTTCATGGGAATGTGCGAGGCTGGGTTTGTTCCAGGTAAGTGCAGGATACATTTCGATTGCGTTGAAGGACGTTCGCTAATGCCGACACAATTAGGCTGCGCATACTTGATCGGAAGTTACTACAAGCGCGATGAGTTCCTTCGACGATACGCCATCTTTTTCAGTGCAAATATGGCCGCAGGGGCATTCAACGGGGTCAGTAATAGTTTATAAGATGTGCGGCGACGCTCACTGACGCGCTCATAGCTCTTCTCGAGTCTTTTAACACCATTGAATCTGGACGGATATAAGGGATGGCGTTGGTAAGATTGGCCAGATACAGCGTTTGTCCATTTTCTTACAATCTAGGCTCTTCTTGATCGAGTCCATCATTACCATGGGTGTCAGCCTCATCTGCTACTGGATTGTGGTCCCGTTCCCCGAAGACGCTACATTCCTAACGGCCGAGGAGAAGACATTGCTCCTTGCGCGCCTGAAGGCGGACGGCGGAAGTGTTCGCGACGACCCTATTTCATTCAAGCGGGTGATCAGCATGGCTGCCGACTGGAAGATATGGATATGGTGGGTATTCTGCGTTCTCCTATCTCGCCATTGACTAACTGAACACTCATGATAGCGTGCTGGCCTACCTTGGGGCCGAAGAGAGCGCCAGCTCTCTCGTAAACTTTCAACCAACCATCCTGAAGGATCTTGGGTGGACTAGCCGCTCCGCTCAGGAACACACCATTCCTGTCTATGCCGTTGCCTTCGTCCTAACCCTATCCTGCGCCTGGCTGAGTGACCATTTGCGACACCGATATGTATTCACTATGATTGGCTCCGTGTTGACGATTATCGGCTGGAGCGTCGAGCTGTCACATGTGCAATCTGCTGGCGTTCGCTATATGGGCATATTTTTCGTGGCATCCGGAGCATTCATCACGATGTCTACGATTGTGGTGTGGTTATGCGTCAACTTGGGCAAAGGCGTGAAACGCAGTGTTGGAATGGGTCTGCTTCCTGCATTCGGCAACTGCGGTGCCTTTGTGTCTGGCAACGTTTTCATCACCAGTGAATCGCCAAAGTATCCGACCGGATTCGGTGTTGGGTTGGCCTTTGCAGTGGTGGCCGGGCTGGCGTGCACGGTGTATTTTTTCGCCTTGCAAGCGGAGAATCGCCGCAGGGACGGCCAGCCGCCCAAGGAGGAAACATCGGAGATGGCGCCGGAGGCAGATGACCTCGGGGACGCCCATCCGGATTTCCGGTTTCAATTGTAGGCTTAATCTGTGTGGGCTACCACGATCTAGCTTGGACGGGGCCAAGCTCAATTGATAAGATCCACCATGGCGTGGCCACTAAAATAGTATTTTGTACGGCTATGTATAAGGATTACGCCTCAACATCATGTAGCCAACGTTGTTGTAGCACACAGTAGCCTGGGCTCTAGCTTTGAAATATGCAGCTCCAGCTAATGTTGCGTGATTACGTTCCTTCAATTCCCTCCACGCCGGAGTACAGAGGAGGGTTTAAATAAATAGGAGACAGTTGCTCCTAGAACGACAATTCACGGCATTGGGCACCCATCGCCACGCACCTCCCACTGCTTCTTAGGGTACCACTCTTCTCAATTCAGAAGTTATACTCACTGGAATTGCAATCGGTCGTCTGAAACTTGCTCATAGTCTGTACTACTTCAAGACCCTTGACCGAAATTAATGTGGCCGGCGGTTTCACCGGTTTCAAACCCTGAGCGCGCGACCGGCAGGGTTACACGTGCTAAACACTCCAATTTAGCGAGAACAAAGAATCCGTTGAGCGAATAAATCATTCGTTGTAAACTACGGAGTATCTTGACAGGGATCATGATCTAGCGTGGCATGATATATATTGTGTCTTTAGTTTAAAGCATCGAGTGGCCATTGTTCCCTTCGTGGATCCTCGTATCGGGGCCGTTCCGGCCCTAAAGATACGCCACTATGAGCTGGTCTCATATATGGCCCACCGTGGTTTTATTACCATTTCCTAGGATATTACGCAAGCTTCACTAGGTGTATGTAAATTACACACATACCCACTGGAAAATTCCAGAGGCAGGGGTCTGTATGTGCATGCGAACCATAGAGAGTCTGAATATCCGGCCGAGTAGAACGGTGGATCGATGGTAAGATTGTCTCGAAGCGAACAAATCCTTCCAAGTTCTGGATATCGACGCTAACAGAACAAATGAAGGCGGTGGTATTTGGGAAACTTTCCCAGACCTTTTCAGTGGTCACAGTAGAACGCCCGGAGCTGTATACTGGGCATAGAGTTGGATCCCCCAGACTAATGAAAGAGCTAGGCACGGGAATTAAGGATCCCTGTACCACTGGCATAATTTGAAGCAAAAGCTGTTATTAAGCCTTTGAGCCCAATGCTTGGTTTACTACATAGCAGTCATTTTCTGATGCAGTCGGTTGTCGTTCAGAACCCTATTGACTCCGTGTCGTAGGCTGGCGCTTTCAGTCCCTAATATCCACCTACGCTCGCTTCCGGTTGTCATTCGTTTTATAATTCCTTTTCTTTTTGTTATTAGCCATTGATTGCTCTTATCCAGGCCACAGCAGCGTCGCCATGGCGGTTAGTCCGCTGGATGTCCCGAATAAAGACCCTGAATTTGTCAAAGTAACTGCCGTCTTGACGTGCATTGCATTCGTCCTGGTGGTTTGTCGCCTGACATGGAAGGGCTATGTCCAAGGAAGGTTTGCTGTAGACGATGGAATCATTGCTTTTTCAATGGTAAGTCCTAAGCTCCAGTACTAGACGTACACTCACCCAAAGCCAGGCCATGCAGATTGTCAATACTGTTATGGGTGATTTAGGTATGGTTCCCTACAACCAGATTGCGACTAATACTAAATGTATCCAGCCTGCCACTATGCCTTTGGACGGCACAAAGCCGACATTGTCAGAACAGGCGGCAACGTTGTCCTTGCCTTGAAGGTGCGAAATATGTTCTCCCAGTCAACCACGCCCAGCTAATTTTCGGCTAGTTCTTCTGGCTCTTCCAGATCTTCTACAAACTTGTCCTATGCCTTAACAAACTTTCCTTTCTCACCTTCTACCTCCGAGTTTTCCCCAATCGCATCTTCCGCATAATCTGTTGGATTACCATCGGTCTCGTCCTCGCTAGTACCTTCGGTTTCGTTATAGCAACCATCTTCCAATGCACACCCGTTCGTGCCAGCTGGTACAAGCATATCCCTAAGAAGTGCGTCCAGAATTCTCCCTTCCGTTGGTCTTGGGCGGGTTACAATACGGCAATGGATATTTGGGTGTGTTTACTGCCGCTGCCAGTATTAGCGCAGCTACAACTTGATCGAATCAGAAAATTTGGAGTCATGTTGGTGTTCTGTATGGGGCTTTTTGTGTGTGTGACGAGTATCATTCGCATGTGGGCGATGGAGAAGAGCACGACAACGACGGACCCAACCTGGGGGTCGTTCGATGCGTTGCTATGGAGTGCCATCGAGGCTAGTACGGGAATCATCTGCGCTTGCTTGCCGTTCCTGAAGCATCCCATTCAGAAGGTCCTACCTGGTCTGTTTGGTTCATTGTCAAATGGGTCCAGAAAGAGTCGGAGTCGGACGAGGCCGAGCTATCGGATGAGTCGATTGGGGTCCCGGTCGGGGAATGGCACGCGGAATGTTGATGCTGATATTTGCGGGGATGAAGATGATTCAGAGAGCGTCGGAAGCCAGGGACCGATTGCGAAGAACCAGATCATTGTCAAGACGGGCATTTCCATGCACAGTGAAGCGGCATATCCATGAGGCTTGCTGGTCTCGGGCAATGAACCGGAGTGCTGGTATTGACACGTCCGAGCCCTTATACCCACACAAGCACATAATTGCATTCGTCTTTGCCATCCCTCAGGCCATTGGTTTCACCCTTATTAGCTTCATCTAAGGCTGACCCTTACTCTTGGCACCGGTTCAGCTGCAGCCACAGTCCATTCTCTGGTCCGGAGCTTGTCCGGAGCTTGTCCGGCCCTCCGTTAGTGGGGACTTAGCCTGCCACTCGGCCGCCCGTAGCGCCCATTAGCCCTGGATGCTTATATTGACGGGTCGATGGTCGGCGCCAAGAGGCCAGGACACTCCTAGCTAGTGGAGACTTCCATCTAGCTGCGTATTGACTTTAGTGTAATACATATCAATACACGACCCCTCCTCGTTGACATGGGTGGATATGCATTAATCCATCAACTGGCAGCATAAAGAGGAGGGGCTAACTAGGCATTTGCATCTCCCTGCATACCAATACTTCTAACCGCAAAATGTCACAAGAAACTACAGTTGAGACTGCTCCCCATACTGTGGCGGATGCATTTTTAGAGGCTCTGGCCGAGGTAAAGTGCCTTCAGCTGTCTCATAGACCTCCTCTCACATAAATAGGCTGGCATCGACTACCTTTTCACCGTGCTTGGCTCGGATCATCCTAGCATCATCGAGGCCTATGTCCGCCGTCAAAATGACCCTGCCAGGCAGTACCCCAAGATGGTACTCTTCCAACACGAGGTACGTTAGACACACCTCCAATGATAGCTGTGGTACTGATCGCCCAAGTTCGTGGCCATGTCCGCCGCCGATGGATATGCCCGAATGAGCCACAAGCCGGCCTGTGTGATCGCCCACGTGGACGTGGGGACTGCAGCGCTCGGTCAAGGCCTGCACAATGCATCTAGCGGACGCGCCCCGGTCGTGATCTTCGCCGGTGTCGCTCCATCCACTCTGCTGGGCGAAGCTCCGGGTTCACGCTCGGAGCACGTCCAATGGTACCAGGACATTCGCGACCAGGCTGCGCTCGTGGCACCCTATAGTCGTTTCAGCGCAGAGATCAAGTCGCCGCATAATGTTGGTAGCCTGGTGCATCGCGCCGTTCTCATGGCCACCACTGGCTCACCGGGCCCAGTGTACCTCACTGCCACCCGCGAAATCCTTGCCACACCTATTCCTAGCCCACAAACCCGCCTCAAGCCTGTCCCTTCTTGCCAGCTGGGCTCTCTATCCCCGCAAGCAGTGGAGCTCATTGGCAGCGCGCTGCTCAATGCAACGTCGCCCCTAGTAGTGACCGGATACCTGGGCAGAAACCACAGCGCTGTCCAAGAATTGATCAAATTGGCCGACACCGTCCACGGCCTGCGGGTATTCGACTCCGAGCTTCGCGAAGTATGCTTCCCAGCCACGCACCCAGCCAGCGTAACGAGAGGAACCGGCGCCGCACCAGCTGTGCAATCCGCAGACGTGATCCTCGTCCTCGACGCCGACGTTCCCTGGATTCCCCGCCGCATCCATCCCTCCCCCGAGGCAGTCATCTTCCACATCGACCTTGACCCACGCAAAGAGCGCATGAACATGTTCGACATTGGAGCAGCAGCTACCTTCCACGCGGATACAGGGCTAGCACTAACCCAGCTCAACGCACACATTACCTCCTCGTCCTCTCTCACTGATCTCCAGACCAGATGGACTGATCGTCGTGAGGCCCTGCGCACAGCTCACGCCGAAGGTCGCGCCCGCATTGACGCCCGAGTAACCAAGCCTCTCGAGACACTTGATGCACCCTGCAGCGTGGACTTTCTCTGCAGTCGTATTCGTGAACTTGTACCCAACGATACCATCTTCGTCACCGACTCCGTTACCAATCAAGTCGCCATGACCGAGCAGCTACAACTAACCCGCCCAGGCTCTCATCTGACAAAAGGAGGCAGTGGTCTCGGCTGGGCCGGAGGTGCCTCCATCGGCGTGAAGCTAGCCACAACACGATACGATATCTCTAATCGTCCAGATGTTCGCGTCAAATCCGATACGAATTCACCTTTCATCTGTAACATCACCGGCGACGGGAGTTTTATCTTCTCTGTCCCGTCGGCAGTGTACTGGGCTAGCCATAGATATGGCTGTCCGTTCTTGACTGTGATTTTGAACAATGGTGGGTGGAATGCGACGAGGCAGTGTCTGGTGGATGTGCATCCCGGCGGTGAGGCGGCCAGCTTGTCGAGTAAGGAGTTAGGGATCTCGTTGGTGGAGGATGGGCCGGATTATGGAGGTATTGCGAAGGCGGCTGCCAATGGTAATTTGTGGGCGACGAGAGTGAGGAGTGTTAAGGAGTTGGATGAGGCGCTGAGGGAGGGGGTTAGGGTTGTGGTTGAGGAAGGGAGAGGGGCTGTGGTGGATGTGGTGGTGCAGTGATTTAGAAGACCGTCATCATCCCATATTGAATTTGAGTTGTTGTGAGATTCCTGTGGTTTGAATATAACAGGGCGATTCCACTTGAGGCTATAGTACTTGCTCTTCAACTATATAGGCCGCAGCAAGAGGTTGTTCAGGGCATCTCTATAGTCGAGGTATTTTTCCCACCCAAAAACATGATACACCTCACCACAGACCTGAAATACACATGCAGAAAGTAATTTCGGTCAAGTCAGCTGTGCCAATATACGAATTCCATATTATCGCACCTCATGTTCACAGCAACCCATTTGGTAGGTAGTACCCCAGTCCACCAATCACACCGAACGAATCACGTGCCAAGCCTACTCTCCACCCATTTAACCGCAATCTTATCATCACAAACTCATCCATCAACACTCACCAACAGCCATAACTTCCCCAACATAAAGATAAAGACAATGCCACCCACAACCCAACAGGTCCGCCCTGGCGCAGGCGTCCATATCGTTCTAAAAAAAGACCAACCAACCGGCCGCACAGTCAGCGGTACTGTCGGTGAGGTATTGACGCGGGGTAATCATCCGCGGGGGATTAAAGTCCGCTTGACGGATGGGAGAGTGGGGAGGGTTCAGGCTATGAATACTAATCTTAGCTCTAACTCTAATCTCGGTGGTACGGAAGGTATGGATGTTGAGCAAGAGGACCCTGAGCAGGGAAGTTCTTGGGGAGGTAGAGGTGGACGGAGAGGTGGTAGGAGGGGCGGAGGGAGAGGTTACCTTGGTGGTGGCGGGGATGAAGGAGAGGTGCCGGCGGAGAGTGTGGGCTTGGATGCGTATGTTACTCCTGGATATGGAGTGAGACAGAGGGGGAAGAAGGGTAGGGGCAGGGGTGCTGATGACGGAGTGCGTGATATGGGTGAGGTTGTTGCTGGTGTGGATGGAGTTGGTAGTATGGATGCAGGGGTTATACGGTGTCCGGTCTGTGAAGCTTTTGAGGGAGATGAAGCTGCTGTTGCGCATCATGTTGCGGAGCACTTTGATTGAGATATTCTGGGATGTTTTCGGGGAATATTTTGAGTGTTCGTGAATACGAGATGGATGATCCAGATGGGTTCATATCCGTTTCATACCTGGCTATCTGAATTTTGGCGACATAATACCACTTTGCTGGGTATCTGCATATGACGCGACTTCCAGACAAGTATCGCCCGTGTGAAACACATATGGACGAAAGGAGACTCCTGAAGCAAACCGCCGTCTTTGCTCTTTTAGGCGTGGGACGTCACTTCATATTATAAACAGCCACATGCACCACAGCAGAAACCCCAACCAGACACAAGCACGATTTTGCGTGCAACTCAACACACCACAACACATGCCTTGTCTTAATGATCTTCACCACGTCCTGTACCTGAAGCGGGTCTTTCTTGAACGCTGCGAAAATCTCTCCAACACGACTACCCCGCTGCTGCTGCTGCTGTCGCCGCTGGTTCCGCGGCGCAGAGACCAGCGTCTCACATGCAGACGGCAACATACTGGTCTGAACGAGAATCAACGCTATAAACGAAGGGAAGAGAAGCAACAGCTGTGCGGCGAGCATGACTCCCGACACCAAGATGTCAGACCCCACAATACCCGACAAGTACGCTTTCGTGACATCTGTGCTAGCGGATGGGACGAGGTCGCTGTCAAACATGGCAGGTACATGCATCATGAACGATTCAGCGACCGCATGTAGAGCTGTGGCCGGCACCAAAGCTTTCCATCGTTGGCGATCGGAAGAATTTGGCACGAAGTGCTGCTGGTCGCGTAGAAGTATGGTGCGCGCTGTCCACAGGAAGTGGGATTCAGCGAGCAGCACCGAGGATACGACATACGCGACCGGGCCAGGAAGGAATAATGCTTTCATTAGCAATTGCTTCATGCACAAGTGCTTTACCCAATAGCTGGAGGCGGAGCCAATGCCATTCAGGAGGAGACGGAAATTACCCTTGCCGTAGACGGTGGCGATGGTTTGGAGTAGGTGACGGCTGGATGGACCAGGATTCTTGTCGCTCAGTTCAGAAATGTAGCCGGAAGCCTGATTCTTCACACTTTCAAGTATGAGAATAGACATTAAAACATGTCCAAGGATATACCGGATCTGAATCCTGTCAATATGCCATTTTTGGGGAATCTTCTTCTAAATCCCTGACTTACCAGCCCGCTTAGAATGATTCCGACAACAATAGGTACCATCACCAATACATTATCGGAATGTGTAGGCTCATGCTGCCATATGGAATGAGCTTGTGCAAGCAGCGGATCGTCTCCAGCGGAATGGATAAAGGTATTGAGCAACGTGCGAAAGAGGGTTACCCAAAAGCGAGGGGTTGGAGCGTATGCCATCGTGCTGTTAATGATAAGTCTACAAAGAAAGACTCACAGTCGGAAACAGCAGGATGACGGGAAGATAAAGCTTATGCGGTGCAAGGCTTAGGGTAAAAGTGGAAAACACCAGTTCCTTTGATCGATACATCCAAACTACTTAGACTAGGCAGAAGCGCAAACCGCCAATAGAACCCGGTAATCAGTGGAGCTGAGGGCGAGACCCTTTGTAAGGGTGGGGCTTATCTAGGTACTTTGACTCCTTATGGGACCCTGAATAGACCCTTATTGGATCTTGATGTGAGACATGCTTGCTATGGGCAGGTAGTGGCTTCAACATCATATCGTCTTATTTGACACAATGAAACAAAATGCCGATATGGCCACGGTGTCTTGTCCGCGCATGCTCTTCAAGATAGTACTGTGGCTTGGATATTCATGTGCTTGATTCTAGAGAGATAATTTTGGAATGCAGAGTGCAGGGGCCATACCCAGCTTGATTAAACCAAGTGCTGACGGAAGCCCCCATTAGGACGTGCCGGACGACCCCATGTCCATTACTCCAGTTGAGATAAAGTAAGGGTATGAATGGTAATAAACAGTGTCAAGGATTTTGATACCTCTTACATTTGTCTTATTGGGCATCCCCACTTCTGGACATCTACTATTGGGTAAACCAAAAGTGATTCATATACTACCTCCAGCTACTAACATTCTATGGTCCGTCCTCATCACTGATAGTATATATAACCTTGGCTCCAATCTCACTAGGAGCGAACTTGGCCAACGTCCGCTCCCTCAAGCTAGCACCAAACAACATCAATACAACCACGAACCCAAATGCAAAAATGGAAAAGAAGGCCATCATTCCATATACCCAACCAAAGCCCACCTGGGCAACCCACTGGTTGATGAAGAACGGCACAACCAACCCCAGCGTGAGACGATACGCGCCCATGAACGCACCCACCTCGGTTGGCTGCGAAGCGACGCATTCGATCATATAGGTTACAGCGACGGGAACAGAGCTCATCGAAGCAAAGGTGATGAGATAGGCACCTAAGGCGAGGACCATGTAATGTAGATGGTATTGTAGAGCGGAGCCGACGATGCCGAGGCCGATGGGAAGAACTATGAGCGACGGGATCCAGAGGGCATGTAGCCGACACTCGGGCTTCCATACACCTTTTTCGCGTGTGCAGCAGATCCAGAGAGCGATGCGGTCATTGCAGAGGTAGCCCCATAGTTCGGCTGTCAGGAGGCCGACCCAGAGGGAGAAGATGACTTTGGGGGTTAGCCTTTGGTGTAATCGAGAGGAAGAGGAAGACGTACAGAGGGCGTTCCGTTGAGGACTGAATCCCCATCCGCCGACGGAGACGGGTTTCTCCAGCCACACAGTCAACAGGCTGTGCGTTGCGACGAACCAGCCGAATGATGCTAATTGGAAGATACCAATAAGAAGGCCAACGGGTGAGAGACCGATGCGGAAAGGTAGGCGAGCGATGCGACCCTGCATCTTGAGTCAAAAATTGTTTGATAGGGGTAAGAGATCGGGCCCACCAGTTCTGCGCGGGATATCCCCGTCTTATGAGGAAGCAGGGTCGCCATTCGGTTAGCGCAGAAGTTCGTAGGCTTGACGGCGGATAATGTCTTCCCGTCACGAGAGTAGCTGGTCTCCTCCAGGAAAAGGAACGCTACAATAAGATAAGATAGATGCCCACCTGTTATTCACTTCAGGGCTATACACCTACCAAGAATCAGAACGACTCCCTGTGCAATGACGATCCACCAAAACACCCACGGCCAGTCGGTATGTTGGACGATGAATCCCCCAAAGGTCGGGCCCGCAACAGTACCAAACAGAAAGGAGACATGAAAGATGGCATATGCCTTGCCACGCTCGTGCAGAAAGAACATGTCATAGACCGCTCCCACGCCAACGATGGATGGAATTGAACCAAAAATGCCGTCAAAGAGACGCGATGCAACGAAACGCTCATAATCTCCTCTACTTGTCATGCAAGCAGACCAAATCGCACAGGCCATGGCAAACACAAGACACCAGAATATGATGGCAGTGCGACCAAGGGCCTGCGCCACGGGATTAATCAACAATGGCCCATAGGCAATACCTGCAATTGAGGCAGATATAGTGTACGTGATGTCTATAAGTTCCTTGTTCCAATTCTTTGCCTGGTCCTTCATAGCAAGTTGGTTAGCGAGATCTAATGCGGTCCCCGCGAACCCTGCCATGCAGAGAATAGTCAGGTTTCTTAGCTTCCTTCCTCTGGCCCAATTCTGGTGAACAGTCAGTATCCAGTGGGGACAAAACTAATGATGAAAGGAGATAAACAACATACCAATGGGTCTTCAGGATCCTGGGATGGTTGAGGAACTAAGACGATGCCGTCTTTTGTCCGTAGCCCGTCACTTGATAGATCGAAGGATTTGAACGCCGCATGATTCTTGGTATCCAAAGCATTAGATGAGTCATATGTAGGCATAATCATTTTTCTGAGCTCTCGGCACAGGTGTGGAAGATATTGTTATTGACAACAGGGATTGCGACCGCGAACGCGCAAGAGAGTTTGGGAAAAGCAAAAATTCCGACGGCAATTTGACAGGGGGTAATGTGCTCACTATATGCTAGATCCTGTGGAACGAACGGCGCCCTTTTTGTGGGACATGCTAAGTTCTAGGCCATCCTGATTGCTGGACTAGACCGGGGTTGTCCCGAATGCCTGCATCCGCCAGCCTCTCCGTCCTACGATGGCGTCTCAGAGTGACCGGGGTTCTTTATGAGGCATGCCTTCACACCCTCCTTGAATATATTATAGCCTTACTGACTTATAAGTATCTTATCTGGCAATGTCTGACAGAGAAAGAGTGACAAGTTCTGCCATGCCGAGCACACGATGGGGCTGACTTTGACGGGCACGTACAACACCAGACAGCTACAGATTGTCATCATCAACAGCATCCTCGTTGTATTGTCAATTTCAGCTGTTTCTCAGAGAGTCTGGGCACGCAGGTTACAAGGCCTGAATCTTTTCATAGAAGACTACCTGAGCATTGTCGCTCTGGTAAGAAATCCCTCGATCCTTCCTGCGAAGACACGCTGATGTGATCCAAGGCCTTGGCTCTTGCAGTTAATGCACTTCTCTTCCAGAGTGATTGATCCTCCTAGTCAAACACGTTCAAGACATGCTCACTAACAGATATTTGAAGGTCTTCACGCTGGCGTTGGGGAACATGTCGATACACTTTCCGCTGCTACTGTTCAGGAATATTCCTTGGTATTTGCATTTATTTCCCGAGTAAATGAAGGGATAGAACTGAGACTGACCACGAACCCGGGGGGATAGAACCTCTATGTGATGCAGCTGTTCTGGAATACATGCCTTCCGGTCATTAAGCTGTCTATCGTCCTATTCTACCAGCGCATCTTTCCAGTTCCTTCCATGATATTTGCGTGCCGCTCAGTCATGTTATTTTTGGCTGCGTGGTACGTTGCATTTCAAACAACTGCCATCTTCCAATGTATCCCCCTACATCACGAGTGGCAGAAGAAGACCACTAAGGGGCACTGCATAGACTTTGTCCCTTTTGTGACCACACTAGCTGCGACCAACTTGTGCACCGACGTCCTTTTGTTGGTTTTGCCCACACGAGAGATCTGGAAACTCCAAATACCCTGGGCTAGGAAGATAGGTTTGTCGATTATATTTACTCTGGGTGTCATGTACGATGTCTGCAGCGCAGCTTTTCAGAAGTCCAGCGGTCTGACCATCATGGATTGCTAGTGTCTGCGCCATCTCGATTGTGCGCCTCGAAAACCTGATTGCAATCAGTGATTCGGATATCACTTGTACGATTTCTATTGCTTGTCACTTGTGCCGAGACTCACTAATTGAATTCGTCTGATAGGGTCAGATACATACTCCCACCTTTGGACTGCGATCGAGAGCAGTCTCGGGGTGGTGGTATCCTGCCTGCCCAGCTTGATGCCAATTGTGCGCCTAATCAGGGACAGGAAATTGCGGCGCAGCGGAAAATCCTTTAGTCGTCCACAGGATGGCTCATCTTCCTACCCGAGTTACGTGCGACCACCGTACGAGCTGTCAAAGCTGCCAAATCATGTTACCTCGGGAGCGAGTCGGACAAGGCGTCGGTCAGGAAGTAGTCGCTCGGACTTAATCCAGAAAGCTGTTGGGGATATTGAGATCGTCACTGAAATTAATCAAGAGGTGGAGTCGGCCAGTCAATGTGGCTTTGAGACTTAGCCTTAGTCTGCATCTAGTGGCTCGACCGGCCGCTCGATGCTTGCCAGCCCTTTTCATGAGACTTGGCCCCAAGCCTTTCTTATTGAGGTTATACACCAAAGGATCATTGCGTCTGAAATCTCATATATTGAAAAATTGCTTTAAAAGATAGACAGTGGGTACTGCATATGAAACGAGGATGGTGTTGGCATTTTATGTCACTTGGTCTCATTCCCGTCCTGAACGCATAGCCAACCGTGGCTGCAGTGTGCTCATTATCGCGGAGGATGATAGGCCGATATACGTACGCTGCTGATGCAGTCCCCTGCTAGGATAGCTCTTAGCGGCATCGCTAAATCTTATCCTGGTCTCGCGACGAGTCAGGGTCACCGGTACGATTACTCCGCACATGAGAATATTTCATGCCTTGTGAGATGGCAAATACGGGCATCAGCATCAAGTTTCGGTGTCTTCTTTTACCAACCAACATCTTTGCGGGTTCTATATCGAAAATCTCATTGATCACCCCAATAAGCTTTGGGGCACACTTGGCAGGCCCGGGGGACGGCCGGGGAACGGGGGAGCCCGACCCGGTGTGCTTAGCAAGCTCACTACCACACCCTAGCATAGACACTAGGCGTTTTCTGACCACCAAAGAACCCTTAGCTCACAACGCTAGATAGTAGCCATTCCGAAGCAGCTTACCCCTCCTTCTAGCCCGCGTTGCCGTTCTACCATGTCAAATAATTCTCCATGCGTATGCCAACGTAGCGCACTAACCGGATCGCCCGTGAAGATCTGCCCAGAATTTTGCATGCAACAAGAACCCATCCAGACATGACCGTGTCCAACAATGACAAACCTCTCCGAATCGCCATTATCGGTGGCGGTATCGCAGGTGTCACCCTCCTCCTGGCACTGTTGAAGCACACCTCCCGTCAGAATATCGTACCGCACCTTTATGAAGCCACTCCAGAGTTCTCTGAGATTGGAGCGGGGATCGCCTTCGGGTCAAACTCCATTCGTGCCATGGAGCTCATTGACACTGAGTTAGCAGCGGCATACAATCGGCATGCAACATTTCAGCCAGATACGGGCGCCTTGGATAGGAAGCTTTGGTCTAGTTATCGAATGGGCATGGATGGAAAAGGCGCGCCGTCGAATACTCTGAAAGCAGGCCAATACCTGCATGAGGTGCATGCGCCGGTTGCAAGGAGTAGCGTTCATCGCGCACGGTTTCTCGAGGCTATGACGGCACTGCTTCCACCTGAAGGGGGGTACGTCAGCTTTGGCAAAAGACTGGTATCGATCGATGAGGGAACAGACGGAGTCACAGTGCACTTCGCAGATGGGACCTCAGCTTCTGTCGATGCAGCTCTTGGGTGTGATGGAATCAAGTCCCGAGTACGGCAAATTCTGCTCGAAGGAGAGGAGGCAGCTAACGCTGTCTTCACGGGTAAATATGCGTATCGAGGCCTGATCCCGATGGATGAAGCAGTCGCTGCTCTAGGAGAGTACACGGCACGCAATAACCATTTCCACTGGGGCTATGGCGGCCATCTGTTAACGTTTCCGATTGAGCACGGAAAGACAATGAATGTCGTGGCCTTCCGAACCAAAGAAAATGGGGTTTGGGAGCATGGGTCACAATGGGTGCTACCAGGAAACAAGAAGCAGATGTTGCAGGACTTTGAGGGCTGGGGATCAGATGTCCGAGCCATCTTGTCATTGATGCGAAATGCAGATATATGGGCCATGTTTGATCATGCGCCCGCAAGTACCTATCACCGGAATGGTCGCATCTGTCTCGTGGGAGATGCAGCCCATGCGAGTACGCCGCATCAGGGCGCCGGAGCCGGTATGGCAGTGGAAGATGTATTTGTTTTATCTCGTCTCTTAGGGGAAGTTCGCGAGAAGAGCCAGTTGGAGCGGGCATTCATGGCGTATGATGCCGTGCGGAGACCTCGCACTCAGCAACTTGTGCGCACTAGTCGGGATGCCGGCATGCTCTATGAGTGCCAAAAGGAGGGTGTGTGGGATTATGTCGGCAAGATTCGCGAGAATTTGGACATGCGCATGCGCTGGATCTGGGAGCTAGATGTGGAGAAGCACCTGCAAGATGCGTTGGATATTTTTCATACTACACACGGACCGGTGTAAAAACTTACTTCGAATCGCAACGTTGTTTTCTCTGCGTGCTTTGTAGGGACTGCTGTTGATTGTATATTGAGCTTTAAAGTATAAATTCCTATAATCTTCGCACGATGCTAATGGACATGTAATGGTTGGCCTGCATGAGGAATTCTCACCAGCCGGATAGACACCAAGGTGTAGGCCCGGAGCCTATCGAGCGACAAGTACTCATAATTGGCTATACTACTTCACGTCAACTGTCCGAGAACATACACCAGCTTTGCCAAAGCGACGAAGGCATTCGAATCCAACTTGGTATGCAAGAATATGAGTTCCGATACCATCCAACTAACAATGCTTTTACTGAAGAGTCTCTACTATCGATATTGTACCATGGTGATAAGAAAAGCAATGATAACAAAAAAAACTCCCTGTTGCGACACGTGTATATCATTGTCGCACATAGATGAAACAGCATTAATATTTTTTTAAGTCATACATCAATATTGCTAATAATAAACGATTGTCGACACGATGAAAAAAAAATCAATGTCTATGACATTTGAGTACAGTATCCACTCGAGTCACAACAGAGCAAGTGGTTCCGCTTCGGATCGTCACCCGATGGGCAGCCGTTGGTGGAATTTGACACTGCGATATTATCACAGTTACCATTCAGTTCATACGGCAGTCGGACCTGCTTAGTGCAGCAGAAGCAGGCCCCAACTTCCGGAGTAGGGGTGGCGGTTTGAGTGGCAGTTGTTGTGGATATGGACATTTGGATGTCTGTTACAGTGGTTGGTGTGGGCTTGGCTGTGACAGATTCCGTATCGGTTATGGTCTCTGTAGCCGTGACAGACTCTGTGTGGTGCATAGTTTGCTTATCTGTGATGTTTTGGGTGGTTGTTATGGACTCTGTATCAGTGGTAGTCTGGGTGGCGGTAAAGGATGCAGCGGCTGTGATGATCTCCATAGCTGTGAAAAACTCGGTTTCTGTGGTTGTCTGTGTGGCCATGAGTGTGTTGTTGATAGTAAGTGTAGCTGTAGTAGACTCTATGTCAGTGGTAGTGTGAGTCGCTGTGAGTGTGCTATTGATGATCTGTGTAGCCGTGGTAGGCTCTATATCAGTCGTAGTCTGCGTGGCCGTGATGGTGTTGTTCTTCGTCTTCGTCTTTGTATATGACTCTATATCGGTAGTAGTCTGTATAGCTGTGATTTTGTTGTTGATTGTTTGTGTTTTGAATTTTGTGTCGGTAGTAATCTGTGTGGCTGTAATTGTGTTGTTGATAGTCTGTGTGGTTGTCAGGGACTCTCTGTCAGTAGCAGTCTGCATCACTGTATAAGGCTTTGTGTCGGTGACTGTTTGCGTAGCTGTTGTAGGCTGCGTTTCGGTAATACTTTTGGTGGCTGTCAACGCCTGCGTGTCCGTGACCGTCTCTGTAGCGGTGGTAGACTGTACATCAGTTGTAGTTTGTGTTGTCGTAAGCGACTGTGTGTCAGTAGTAGTCTCTGTAGCCGTGGCCGATTCCGTGTCGGTGGTAGTTATCGTAGTCGTGGACGGTTCTACGTCGGTGACGGTCTCCGTAGCTGTAAGTGTGACTGGGGCTGCACTTGAAGAATTGCTCGAGGAACAAGTGCAATTGCTGTCATTTTTAGATCAAATATGTAAAACACGCAAGTGGCACAGCCCGGGACACTTACGGCGTGTTTGTGCTAAGTAAAGGAAGCCCAAGAAGATTTAGAGCTGGATTGCCCCCACAATTGCCTCCACTGCTGCCTGCCATTCTACACTATGAGCTGTTAGCTAGCCTCTCCCATCTAATTCTTTGCGCAGGAAGACATTCTTACTTCCATATCACAGGCCTCAGCATCACAAGCTCGCAAGGCGACGCCTAAATTGATGTCACTGGGAAGGGCGGTGACATAACTGAAGAGCGTGAGGACAACTACGCGCTTGATATGCATTTTGCAATGTATAGCCTTGTTCGAGGCTTGTAGCGCGAGTCGAAAGTGGATTGAAGCTTTTGATCACCAGCACAAGTATCGCCGTTTGATGTCGATAACGCCTAGTTACGTTCCAATACGGGACATGGCTACGGGGTATCTCCTTTCTTAAAGTTCCTGGGTGCTGTCAATGTACGGAATGTAGAATAAGAGAGCGAAGACTAGAAGCAGCAAAAATATTCAGACCTCAACATACCGCAGCGATTGGCCATAGGGTCAGCGATATAGACATGATAGTGGCCAATAGGGGAACACACGTGTCTCGCCAAAGCTACCCTTCCAGGGGCGTTTATCTCTGTTTGGTGATGCGAATATGCAGGGGGTGGGAGTTATGCCAATGATTTCCATTTGTGGCCAATTATGCCGAAACAATGCTGGAAATGGGTCTTGTCAGTTAGTAGCTGGCTGCAGGGCTGCAGGGCTGCATGGGATATTGTTAGCTTCTGTAGAAGTCAAAGATATCATTGCCTAAAGCCATTGTTGATCCTGGTCACCGCTGGAATTGTTCGTTTCTTACTCGCAATTCTAACCGCCCTCTTACCAAACCCCCACGATGCAAAGTGCACTCAGCGAAATGGTACGATTTGCTGTTATCTTGCGGAAAATATTGCCGGCTGCTGCAGAACGCCAATGGGGTGATTATTTTCACGTATGCCTGTGCATGCCTGAACCTTCGATCGGGGGATTCCACCGTTGATCTCAACATAATATAGTGTGGCGTCATGTAAGGTAAATATGCCGAGTAGCTCTTAGAATCCCCAAGGATGATAAGAACCTCGAATAGGCGTAATTGGGGCAACGATTGGCGTGACTGTTATGCCACATTCCACCCTAGTACCGGCCAACCGCTTTCTGCATGGGTTATTTCCGTCCGGCGACCACAAGAAGCGCTAACCCAGATAAGTGCGTTATCGGTCACGCTCCATAGAGATTTACTATTGCTGCTGGCTGTGTAAAGAAATACAATGGCGAGAAACAAGCCAACCACGGACCACTGCGAGGAACTTGCATACTGGGTGCTGATCAACCTAAACTTTGCACGGGCGGGATTTGCCCAGAGTTTAATTTGAGGATCAACTGAAACCATGGTGCCGATTCCGCTCTCCCAGAACAAACCCCTTCCACTACGTGAACGCTATTTTTATTCTATATGGACTGGAAGGGATCTTGGTCCGGCGCTATGGTCCCTGGCTGGCACGGTTCCTTGGCTATAGGCAAAAACCGGTGTGTGTCGGACCCTGAAGTCGACCTCCTGGCGGCTAAATATTTAACGCAACTTGAAGTTTAAGTTGAACTTTAAACGATCTCAAACGGACATGAAACTGCGGTCGAAGCAACGCCGCCCCACTGGTTCATCCAGCTTTCTGGCTTTCACGCTCGACCAGGCAATGGATGCAAAAAAGGAGAATCAAACGTCATGCAACATACTACCATTCTACCATCGTTCTTTCATCGGAAACGATGATCCATGCAGAGAATCAGCGGACCTGTGTGTCAACCTATCTCTAGCTAAAAATACTCCAATTCGCCGACCATATATGAGACCTTCACTTGGTGTTGTTTAGCTTTCGCATGGAGGAGCTCCAAACGGTAGATCCACGAATCCTGAAACCACCGCCGGCACCTTCGGAATAAAAAGCGACACTGTCCCCGTCTCACGCGCTACCTTTTCCTCTCGCATCATGCAAGCTTGCACCGGGTGTGCCAGCAAGCCTACAGGCTAGGCTATTACGCATGGAGTCTGCATCCTACAATGCTGGCCCTGGCATTCTGGGCCTCACTTGGGCAGCAACGGGTGTAGCAACCCTCATCATGCTCTTGAGGCTCATTGCGAAGCATCGTATTCGCAACCTTTCTTGGGACGATGCGACCATGGTCTTTGCTTATGTATGGAACCGCTTGCAACGACCGTACCACTCCGCTTACAATGGCAGGCTCTGGCTATTGCGTCTTCCATCCTTATCACGATAGCAATCTCTCACGGATATGGACGACATGGTTACGAACTCGATCGAACGGACCGTATATTGACTACAAAGCTCTACACGGTGTTTCAATGCGTCACGATCGTCAGCACGGGCACAGGAAGGGTCGCTTTCGTGTTATATTTAATTCCCATTTTCCGACACAAATATCTCACTGGACATCTACTGTGGCTCATATTCGCCCTTCAACTCATCGCCAATTACGTCAGTCCAGTGACTATTCTGGCCCGGTGCTCTGATATTCGCGCTATCTGGGATGTTAGTGTGAAGAGCAAATGCTGGAATCCAAATATTCTGATCATATATAGCTATGTGCAGTGCAGTAAGCGTCTCTGCCAATATTGTTCCAATAAATGGCACTAATATTGGAATTCACAGCTATTAATACAGCCACCGACCTTTACCTCGCAATATTCCCCGCATACACCTTGTGGAGTCTAAACCTCAAACGACGGACAAAGACAATCCTCATCATTCTGATGAGCCTGGGGCTCATGTATGTACTATATCTATTGTCTAGCGCAACACAATTCTAACCGACGTTTCAGCGCCATGGTAGGATCAATCATGCGGATCATTAATCTCCCCTCCCTCTCCATCATCGACGATGAATCGGCTGCAACGAACCGGTTGACCATCTGGGCCTTGCTAGAATGCTACTTGGTCATCACGACAGCATCTATTCCCTGTATTCGGACTTTAGTGCGGGATTCTGTACGACTGCTAGTTAACAGCAGTCGATCACGGTCGCAACGCGAGGCAGATAGTAGGAGGACAAGGCAGAACACCTGGGGCGATTATCACATCTCGCGCAGTTACCGTGTAGCTGTGGGTGATGATGTCGAGGACAGGCGGCATATTCTGGGTGATGTTGAGTTAGGACGATACGGTCGTAATGGGATAAGCAAGTTGGTTGAAGTGACTGTTGCGGAGGAGTCGATTCCGAAATGGATATAATAGAAAAAGCGCTTGTAGCTTTAGCTAAAATATAATTCATTAATATTGTCTCCCGGTGTACGTACTGCCGCTACTCTCAGTAGGGTTTTAGAAGACACGAAGAATAATTTTGTCTTTAGCTTCTAGCGCTACTGCTACGCGTAGACCGTCGTACAGACTATGATGAAAACACTATACACTCACACATTAATTCTTTATGTATCTCCTCAATGATAATCCACCCCCTAACGGATATAGAACAGGTAGGATTACTCCTCATCCACACCATCCCCACCCACCACTGGACTTTCCCCAACAGCAACCGGCATGTCCATAACCGGCCCGTGATAAATCTTCCTACCCCTAACCAAATACCACCCCAAGCCCAGGAGAAACTCTCCCATAAATACCACAATCGACCAGTTCATATTTGTTGGCGTGACCGGCAACTCCTCGGGAAAGAACGAGAAGAAGATAGTGATGGTCAAGAAACAGATCGAACCGATATTGATCAGGATACCCCAGAGCCTGCCCATCTTCCATGGGCCGTACTGGAGAGGCTCGTTCTTGAGCTTCTTGATGAGGATTAGTACGATCGCGATTTCGTATGAAGAGAAGAGTCCTGCTGTGGTCAGGGAGATCATGGCGTTGAAGGCTGCGCTCGAGCCGATGTTGATGAGGCAGGTAATGGCTGTGATTATGGCGCAGAGGGCGATGGCGCGGAGGGGGAGGGCGGATCCGGACGCCCTGGAGTTTATCTATTTCAGTTATGTTAGTAATGATGGTACTTGTAAGCAAGGGGGAGGTGTTTTCGTACATGAGATAGGAAATCAGCGAATGGAATTCCCTTGTCCTTCGCTAGTGCCCAGGTAAGACGTGATGAGGAGGCCAGGAAGCCGAACGAGGCGCAGATAGTCAGCGCAATTACGATGGCGGTCATTACAGATGTTCCGGCGTGGGATTTTGTCGCGTTGAAGAATACTTCGATGAAGTCGTATCCTGTTGCGCTGTCGAGGGCGGCGTCAAGGTCGCCAACGCAGAAGAGGAAGGCTAGGACCATGGCGAAACCGAGGACACCGTTTAGCATGATGGTCGCGATCATGCACCAGGGGACTATAACCGAGGCGTTCACTACCTCCTCCGCTGTAGATGTGTTAGATGTGAGTGGAGTTGTAGTTGGCGTGTGGCCGAGGACATACACATGTGACAAGGGCCATCATATCCTGGGTTACCGAGTCAGTTAGATCGATTGAGTCCGCGCGAAGAGTGTGAGCATACCAATAAATGGAAGATTCGTCCCCATCAGCCCAATCAGCCAGGTAAGGCCAGAGCTCTTCCATCCCGAGGTATTGGTGAAGTTTGCAAAGACGAATTCGGCGTTCTTGTGCGGAGCCAGATAAACCAAGGGGATCAGGATAGCTAGGAAGCCGGCGGTATGGAGAATGAGAATTAAACCTTCGATTTTAGGTAGGAGCCTTGCCCCGAAGGAGTTGACCAAAAGGCAAATCACCAGCGCTGCGAACATGAGTAGGGTTCCATGCCAACGTTGAAAGTCGTATACGTCATAGTTCAACACCAGAAGGCCCTGCAAGACGGTGGCAGCAAAATACACACCCGACGCAGTGTTGGCCCACCATCCGATCATGTCCAACCATCCAGTTACCCAGCTGAGGAAGACAGCCTGGCCTTTAGGGGCAAGGATTGACACCCAGTGATATTGACCTGCCGACGTGGGAGCCCTGTGTGACAAATGTCTTAGTGTTGTTCTTTTCAAAGTCCGTCTAAAGGGGCTGGTACATCGAGGCCATTTCGGCAAGAGAAGCTGCTGTTAACAAAGCTCCAATCCAGCAGAAGATAAACCCGTAGACGAGGGTTGCTGGTCCTCCGTCAGTCATGGCTGCTGGATTAGCGCTGTACTATTGGTCAGCTGCCTGACATTCGACAGTGGAGATGTTGACACTCACGTAAGGACCGCCTCCCAAGTACACATCATCGTGGTTGTGAAGCCCAGCATCGACAGGAACCCGAAATTTCTCTGCCTACATTAGTTGCGACGTAGAGACACTGAATGAAGGCTCACCTCGAAGCGCTGTTTCCTGCCAAACTTTGCCATGTCTTCATCATCACGATCCTTGTATTGCCGGGAGCCCAGCTCCTGGATTGCCATATCTCCATGTTTGAAGGACATTATGTTGCTTGACTGGACATCAATATGGAAATCAACCAGGCAAGACAGTAAGAAAAGTATGACAGGGAGAGAAGAGAAGGAAAGAAATATTGGTGTACTACTATGGGGAATGCTATTAAAACCGAGCGACCGACCGATACTAGCAGGTCTTGCAGGTTTGCTGCACGATAATTAGGTCTATCCCTGAAATATCCACACGGGGATTCCTTGAATAGGCAGGTCGTCTTCCATGCTCATTTGAGATTGTTCACCTCCGACCTTCCGAAGTAAATTAACATTTGTGCCCCCTGAGGTAGGCCTTGGACCTCGTATGATAAGTGGCCGTGGGATATTAGGCCGTCTGCCAGTCCGTCAATGAACCGGCTTTGACTGCATATTAGCTTCGGGGATCTAAAAGGACACTAATTAATTCTCAGATACGCTCATGGAAAGCTTCTAGGCCTAGTTCCATCTGCAGCGCTGTTTACGCTACTGCGAGCCCCTTGTCCAGACGACTGCCCGAGCACTAGGTCGTCGGACAGGAGTCAAAGTGAAGACGGCCACGGCTTACCCAGACAAGCTTTGGGGTAAACCTCAAATGTCCAGATAATATTTTATACTGAAATAGGATGTGTGGCTGACTCGTCGGGGTCAAGCTGCGACGCCATGACTGATAGTTAATCTTGATGCGATGACTGGGTCATTATCATGTCAGCACTAATTGCTAGCGTATCGCTCCAGCCCATAACGACTTGCCCTTAGCTTCACCCTATCCCGAAAATAGTAAGCTATATGTCCTAAGTGCCACAGTAAGGTCCCAGACTGCCATGGCCCGCGCTGCTGTGTGGAAATATCTACTGGATGGCAAACACCGCCTGAATCTCATGACCCCGCTGCTAAACACAAGCAACTCAATGTAAACAACCAGCATATCACGCCGGGCTTATTTAGCTTACTCTCCCAGTAATCTATGGGCCTTCTCAAAGTTGGCGTTTTTCATTCGCATTTTAAACCTAGGATTCTACTGTCATTTTCCACCTCCCTCAGCCACTCAGTCCGAAATTGCAACTTCTAGTTACCCAAAATGGGCGGCATGGTCGATTGGGCAGCGCGTCCCACATATCCCTTGGAACAGCTCAGACGCTACTTCGACCGGATCGGGCTCCCCGAAAATTATCGAGAAGCTTTGCAAGATGTAGCGATCCTCCATGGCCAGTCTGCATTAGCTTTGCTGAAGATGCTGCAACGATACCAACTAGCAGCTGTCCCTTTCGAAAACCTGAACCTCCACTATGCTGTTCATCGGAGTATTTCCATTGATCCTTACAAGGTGTTTGAGAAAATTGTTGATTCTAAGTCTCGTCGTGGGGGCTATTGCATGGAGAACAGTCTCTTGTTTGGCACCGTCCTACGAAGTCTGGGATACGATGTGACCACCGTAGGGGGGCGAGTCAACGAAGCTGCGCAGCCCATGTCTGCCTCGAAGAATTGGAGAGGACCCAAGTATGACGGATGGTAAGTTTCCCGTTCCTTTGGGGGTAAAGCTCAATCATGAAGTGCTGACGAGCTTTAATGAAGGAATCACATGGTCAACATCGTAACTATCGATGAACAAAAGTACCTTGTAGACGTTGGATTTGGCTCCAATGGGCCACACCAGCCCATCCCACTGGTCCAGGATTATGAGTTCCACAACGTTGGTGAACAGTCGGGCCGGCTAGTCAACGGACCTATCGCTCAACACACTAGCAGGAGCCAATCTCTGTGGCAGTACGAATTTCGCAACGGGGACAGTCATTGGATTCCGGCTTACTGCTTCACCGAGATGGAGTTCCTTCCAGAGGACTTCACTATGATCAACTACTACATGAGTACCAGCCGGGAAAGCTGGTTCACATATCATGTTGTCTGCGTGCGGATGTTACTCAACGAAGATGGTGACAAGATTGTGGGCGATGTGACCCTGTTCAACGACACGCTTAAAGAGCGCCTGGGAGCGACATCCAAGGAGCTAGAGAAATTTGCGTCGGATGAGCAGCGCGTGCTAGCGCTAGAGAGAGTATTCGAGATTCATATCTCCGAGGCCGATCGGGAGAGTATTCGCCATACAATATCGGAAATCCTCTAGAGAACGGCGCAGCCGGAGAATGGACATCCGGAAAAGGCTGTAGGAAGACAAATCAGCGCACTGATAGGTATTTGTTGATTAAATATCATCTGGACATTTGAGTTAATTTTATTGGCCACTATTATTACTGATAGGAATTTCAATTTAATCTTGATATTGTAGCGCCACAGTTAATTTAGCACGCGCTTTAGGGTACGGACCGTTTGTTGTCCCCGCCGCGGAACTAGCCAGTCATATGAATTCCCCAATCCCGCTGACGTGGCGCAAATGAAGCTTGTCTAACTAATGACATAGGACAAGGATGCTAAGCTCATTTGCTTAGCCATCTATTAGCTTCGCTCTAAGTATGATAGGAACGTCCTTCGGAGTGGGCGAACGGCTGGCCCTTTCGCTCCTTTTCCGTCTTGGCACGCGCTCATTCTACGCAAAACACGCCGGTATGCTACGCCATAAACAATATTCCCTGAGTTGGAGACTACGAGCTAGGACCAGAAACCTGAGGTCCTAGCTGTATCGTGAGTTATTAGTCGGGATTAACTAATTAAATTAGGCCGAGGAAGCGAGGACGGAATCCTTGCATCCTCGACTCACTCACAGCCGTCTTCTGGGGAAATGCCAGTGTTCGCATGGCTGGTTAGCTCGTGGCTGCTTTTGAAGAAATGCTTCCTTTGGAAGTGTCCATAATCAATCCCTGAACCTCGCTTGGGCCTGTCTCCTGTCCCGCGCGCGGTTTCCTTGTCATGCACAACGATACTACACGGTTAGCACTCGTCTTTGGCAGGCAAACGGACACTGCGAATTCAACACTGATCAATCTCCCCGTCGGGAACAAGGAGTAACAATCCCCCGTCATCGATCACCCATTAATGCTATGTTTTTATCCCGTTCCTACAACTTGTGTTCCCACCCCCACCCTAGACCGATTGGCAACCTTGGCGCATTAGCATAAGCTAGCCATCCTTTTCCAAGAGAGGACCGAATAGTACCGCGTAGCAGAGGCAAGTAGCTCATTAGGGGACCTTGCTGTATACTGGTTTTGCCTTTCAGCTTGAGGATCCTGGATAGCGGCCTGTAATTTCCCCAGCAACATGCGCGCTCGCCTACGTACACGACGGTCCGTCATGCGTCACTGATTAGCCCTGGTCTAATGGTATGGCGGTCAAGCTAAACAGGGATCAGAGATAGTGTCTGATAGGGGTAGGTGCCTAGTGCGCACTATGGGTCTGCTCATTCGATCGGAGAAGTAGCTTCAGACCCAGTCCCAGCTCCTGTGTGCACTCCCACGGAGGATGGGTTATTTGTGTGGCCGGGCTTGTCCGAGATTATGCCATTCAACTAAAACATGTGCTGATAATGAGACTTCCCAGATCGAGTCAAGCAATAAGTGTTACTAATCGGCGCTGCTGTGGACTGAAGGGTGCGCGTGTACATAGCTTTCTATACTTACTGCCGCAGGCGTTCGTGCTCCCTGTGTTAAACCACCATGAGCGCACAGTCTATGCTGGTACCTCTCCTTTCATGTTTGCATTCCTGCTTCTACATCAATCCCGAACATGCTTCCACAGCTCTCGCATATCTACCAACCTCTTCGCATCCCTAATATTGGCATACGCGCAATTTACCCGGCGACGAAACATGCGCCCGATCATGTCGACGAAATAGCCATTGCCACTATATACTTGATGGTGATGATGATACTGGCTGTTTTGATACGACTGGCCTTCCGGCTTCACATGCTTCGCTCACTGGAATGGGACGATGGGACTATATCGCTTGCACTGGTATGTTTACCGCTCCAGCTTTTCGAGACAATTGGTGTATTGATTCATTAATGCGGTTCCATCACGATAGTAGATTTTCGCTGTTGCACAATGTGCTGTCATTCTTGCTGGAACGAGGAATGGGTTGGGCAAGCGAGAATTGAGCCTCAGTGACACGGAAGTCCAAACACTAGAGAAGGTGAGTTTTAGCCAGTCTCTGATAAAACAGGTTTGTTAATATCACAATGTCTGTCAGGTTCTCTATTCATCGGAAATTCTATACATTCTTGCTCTTAGCTTAGCAAAGACCTCAGTACTGCTGCTCTTGAACAGATTGGCTGTTAACAAGTGGCATAAGCGAGTTTCATTCTGGACGTCAATTCTGGTCGGTATTTGGACTGTGCCAGTCTTTTTCACTCTGGCACTACAATGCGGAGTGCCTAATCCTTGGGATTTTAGCGAAGGCCATTGCGTAGATAGTGTGAGTTGGCAGATCCTCCTCGCCTACCATCCCAAAACTCGCGCACCCCCATATGCTATCAGAATATCCATATATTTCCACTCCATGCAACGACACTGACAGATACGAGTGCAGTTCGCCTTCTGGACAGGCATCTCCCCTATCGACATAATAACAGAACTCGTCATCTGCATCCTACCTATCTACATCGTGAAACCAGTCCAGGTTGTCTCCGGGAAGAAAGTCACCGTTGTGGTTGCATTCTTCATCCGCATCTTGTAGGTCTATTCTAGGACTTACTGCAAATATAGATCTAACAAGAGACTGGCCAGCGTTATCATAACCACAATTATTCGCCTCATCCTCATGCGCCACTCCCAGTCCTCCCCCTTCACGGACATGAACTACGCAGCGTTTGCAACAACCATCACAACAGAATGCGTCCTCTGCGTCAGCATCATGACAGCCTGTATCCCGTGCCTGAAACCGTTCCTCGACGCCTTTGACAGCGGCATGCTCAACGTATCCTTACATAAGCGCATTGGTGGAGGCAGCAATAGCAACTCTTATGGTAATGCGTACGCGATGACGAGTATGAGCAAAGGTGTTAAAGAATCAGCCACTAGGTCACGGTACATTGAGGATGAGATCGAGGGCTTGGGCACTTCTGCTGCAGCGTTTGCTGTCACATCTCCGGGTCAGCCATTGGGTAGGAGGGACTCAACACTGGTCATTCAGAGAACAGATCAGTGGAGCGTAAGGTGCGAATACGTTGATCCGAGGAATGGGTCTGTTGAGGATGTGACGGAGCGGTCGGAGAATAGTGTGGCTAGGTGTGAACATTCTTTGTAGTAATTTCCTATGTTTCTGGTACAAATAGTAGATAATCGCTCTGTGGTTTTTGTCACGGCTGACCGGATCTCCCTCTTAATAGATTCTATTCCGCTCCCAAGCTGTTTGCATATGTGCAGTTAGGTTCTCATACCGTGTATACTACTATTAGTCCAACGACGTGTGCTCTATATATGACTGATTGTTTACTTGTTTCGTTCCTTTATCTTCGAACAGATCAAATTCAGGATACTCTTGCCAAGTCACTTACGGCTAGCAGAAATGTAGCATTGAGGTCCATAAATGGAAGCTATCCAAAATCATTGATGCAGTAAAGTAAGAGAGAGAATGAGAAGGGGGAGCGTTAATGAAAGCGGCCTAGTCCAGCTGTCACTCTATGTAATCATTTACCCGGCTTGATGTACCAACCATCTGTTCTGCTCCCTTCATCTATCCCAAAATATATAGGAATAAAAACTTCCTTTATAGCCTTGATCGTGTGAAGATTACGGACAGGTCTGTAAAGGGTGTCTGTTAAGCAAGACAATCAGTAGAATGGCATAAGGGAATCGAATCCACAATGATGTACGCTCCCACGCATCCATCAAACTAGGCCACTAGCCTGAGTGCTTTTCATATGCTATTAATGATATCAATGAGGCATATGGGCTCTCAGAGATACCAATAACGTGTCAATGAGCAGCACCGCGACTGCTTCCTCAGTATCTAGCCAATTACTGTCCCCGTAAAATCAGGATATTTATATACAAGGAACCAACAACTGCTTCATTCATAGGCTTGTACGCGGGGCACCTACATACGACGGGGGTAGATATTAGGATGGCAGCTTCAGACCAGAGCTGGAAAAGCTGTTAAGAGAGATTCAGAGGATCCCTGACACTGTGATCCAATAATACTGAAGCTGTATAACCTCTGCACGATACAATAAGAAAACAAGACAATTATCCCCAGAACTCCCTAAAATAGTAGATGTTATGGGTGATTCTAGCTTGGTAGTAAAATGTCTTTGCACGTGATAAAGCTCATTTGGGATCAATCTGAAATGTTTTTCCAGCTCCGGTTTGACACTGCCGGGTCTAAATTTGAACCCCGTCACGTGTGGGTGCCCCACTTACGCTTTGTCTGGTATCCCGAGATGAGTTATGGTGGAGGTTATATTGTTGAGAAATTGGGCAGAAGAGATCATTTCTGATGTTATAGTAAAGTACAAAGTGTAGCTTATTCTGCGATACTGCTTCTGCTGTCATATCACCATCTCTTATATGATATCTTCGTTTATGTTTCGTGAATACGAACACCCGCGTCACGAGAATATATAAACTATATATATGAGCTACATACTATTGTAACTTCAGCAAGCCATATATGATCATACTAGAATTGTTCAAAACCTAGCAGGCTTATGTAGCCTACTAAATCTATCATATAAACCGTTGGATCATTATATAAATAATCAACAGCTAACGAGGAAGGGACAAGTACCCAGTCGGCGCGATATTATATATATCTGCTCAATGGTTGTAGTGACAGTTTGATGCGATTAATTGAAGTACCAATCTTGCTATCTCATGACCTGCTTGTCCCGATTCCTTGTTTTCGAGGGGCATCAAAAATTTCGAGGCCAACATTTCAAAACGTAATCTCTTCCGGACATAGTGCATTGAGTATTATCTAAATGCTACCTGGTTGCTTACATTCATCTGATGTTGCTCCTCCGTATTGGGATATTTTGTTGGATAGCGCCTTATCTTGATGAATGGATCCCAATCACTCGAGGTGTACCTAACCGTAGCACGGAAAAATATATATATGTATCGTACAGGTACTTGTATTAGAGGTAACTGACATAGGTCGGAGCCGAATAAGCTGCCACAGCCTCAAATGAAAGTACTATTCTATTCAAAACTCATTATCCATCAGAGTCGCCCATTTGTTGGTAGCGACTGGGAACCTGGGTAGGGTTACTGACTGAGAGCCTATTACCATAATGGAGGGAACAACAACGTCCTGGCAGAGTCTAGATCCACCATTTTGCTGGAAGGAGAGACTATGCGTGGACCCACACATTAGACACAATATATCACCGGTACTAGCCTGGTCGTCATCCTCAAAACTGGGAACCAGATGTTACATTGGGGCTGTCTCGAGTAGCAGGAAATGCTGCCGCCCCTTTGTGAGGTGCCTTGTTGACTATAATCTCGTTCGGCTATTTAGGATATTACGAGAAGCGAGTGAAATTCCGCCCTACGCCATGGCAATAAACCGGCCCTGGCACCTGGCGCGCATTCCGCTAGAAAATCTTAGCTCGAATACCATCCGAGCCTGGCCAGTCCGCGCCAAGCCCTCACCCAGATTCAGCCCAGCCAAGCCCGGAGACGACCAACAAACTAAACCTCCTCGAACAATTGCTTCGCCAAGCGCAGAAGTTTTACCGAGCTCCGATGCCCTACAACGCACCCCATCCATGCCCAAGAGGGGCATATCTAGTACAAGCTTGCGAGAGCCCCTCTGCCCACACACAGATCGATCACCGCAAGGATGGGGCCATCTTAGCTTATTTCGGGTACGAGCTTGCGATGGTTCCACGCGGCGGGATCCACCGGCCGTGGTTCCTCCCGCTCAAAGCAGCCTGAGTCGGCAGTTTAACCCGAAGGGCCGGTTTTTGGTGTCAACGGGCGATGGGGCCGAAGTTTGGCCGGGTGGGGGATTACCGGCGAGGACTTTATATGTTTGTCGTTGCCTGGGTGTGGTGCAGCTCTAGGTACAATCTACAGGATAGATTGATGAGCTGATTGTAGTCAGGAGGATGCCGTTATATCTTTCACGCAAAAGAGCTTCAAGTATACACTATCTGCGGATAAAGAGGAAATGAGATAATTAACAATTGTAGATATCAACATTAAGTAACTTTTCATTTACTGTGCAGTAATCCTGCATGGTTCCACATTACATATACTCATTGGCAAGCATAATCAATCCATGCCGTAAACCCCTTCCAATCATCTTGCATCATACCCTTTCCCAAACCCTCTTTACCAGCCGAATGCCTCCTCGAAGTACTCAATATCCTGGAATCCACCCTTCATGGCCTCGTACACCGAAGACCTGCACTCATCCGCCATCACGGCCGGACCACAGGTGATAACAGCCAACCGGGCCGAGCTAGCCTCTGCCTCACGCACTGCAGTCATTACACTAGCGCGAATAGCAGGCCGGCCGTAGCGAAGCTCGACGTTGAGGTCCTCGACAGAGCGAATAGACCCACTGGATCTGTCCTGAAGAGCCATAGCATCCGCAACAGCCTCCTTCTCCTTCGTCGGAGTCGTTGCACCGGAGTCAATTACGTTTCCGGCCGCCGACTTGTCAGTGCAGAAAAGAGTGGTGGTAATGTCGCTGTGCTCCAAAGCTGCGGACAGATCTCTGCAGCAGACTTCGTCGAAGATCTTCTTTTGACGGCCTGTCCAGATGAGCTGGATACGAGTGGTGTTGGTCTTGCCGGCCTCAACGCGCGAGATGTGGTCCAGGATATAAGGCACCGCGCAGGCAATACCAGTTCCACCCATGATCATGAGGACTGTGTCGAAAGTGTGAAGTGGGGCCTGGTGTCCGTATGGGCCCTCCAGGAGGAGCTTAGGGCGGATTTCAGAGCCGGCCTTCTGGCATTGGTCACGCAGACGTCTCGTCCAGCCGTCATAGGGACGGATGTAGAAGATAAGCTTCGAAGACTCCTCCTTCGAAGTCGCGTTCTCGTAGCATCCCATGGTGAAGGGGTGGTTTTCCCAGCCGCGGAGAGTGACGGGCTGGTAGAGGTAGTAATGTTGACCAGGGCCAGGCTTGAGGGTCTGAGAGGCAGGGTACATCTCGACGCGGATCAGATCGCTTTCGGCACTGTAGGTGACCGTGGAGGAGGTTGTGGAGATGAAGCCCTTTCCGAACTTGACGTGGAGGTTGCAGTAGACCATGCGTGCATAGCGGACGGCACGATCGAAGCCCCAAATGGCAACCATGGGCCAGAGGTAGCCATTATAGACGGTTCCGTCGAAGCTGGTGTGGCTGCAGTCTTACTGTTAGAGATAGTGATGTGAATTGCGTTGTTAAGGAGAGAATACCGGAACAAGGCGTAGATTGTTAGAATGGCCAAGAGGACGTGGATGATTAGGAAGGTCTCGTAGAATCTCTGACGAAGCCAAGTACCGGACTGGAAGAGAATAACTGCCATAACAACCGTAGCCTATAGAACAATTAGAAATTTTGGGCACCGCATATTATCAGAATAGCTTTAACATACTACAATACCCATGTAGAAGTAGTTCTGCTTCAGCGCGCTGTGGTATCTGCCATCTGTATGTAGGATATGTTGTCAACAAGTTGTAAACGGTAGGAACTGGGTGTGATAAGGGGGCTAACCATAAACCTGGAAGACCACAGTGTAGGCGATTGAGTGAACAATAGCCAGAAGGGTACACACCCAGGCCGTGTGACGGTGGAAGATGTTGAAAGACTGCACGTTGAAATCGGTCGCCCAGAGGAAAATATTGTTGCGTCCAGCAAAGAGCCAAAGGAAGGGCAGGCAAGCGTAGGACAAAACACCAGTGCGGTCGGAGGAATATTGCCAGTTTTGCTGGTACAGACTCGGCGTGCTTGAAATTGAGCCGTTAGTTAAAGCGCACTAGCCCTGAGTAGACTGATAACGCACCTAATGTTACCCGTGAAACTCTCGTAGTTGACGCAAGACAGAATGATAGCGACGGCCCAGAAACCAAAGACGATCAAGGTGTCCAGTCGTTTGGGAATGGTGTGAAACAGGAAAAGCTGTTGGTGGTTCGACAGGTAGGGAGCGAAGCTGGCAGGAATCACAAAGTATGTGCGCATAAAGTGTGCAACTGCAGCGACTGGTGCGAATGCCTTACTTTGGGGGCCTGCACTGATTTTCTCGGCGTCACCAGGATTAGAAAGTCTCATGCTAGAACGGACAAACTTCCAGGCCTTCACTATCATTC